AGTAGTACATAAGCTCGTGCGCCCGCTTCAGTAATTACAAAATTAACGAATCGAGTGATTCGGATTAAGGGAGCAAGGATGACGATGTTTTTCTGATTTAATCATCGGTTGAATGAGTTGGTCTGCTTAATGCGATAAAACGAGCATCTCGGGTAGTTACGAAAGATCAACGCACCTCCGGGCGCCTTCTCTTTCCCAGTGAAAACCTTGGAGACTTGAACAGATGCTGACAAGAAATATATAGGATGCCCGCAGCAATGCATGCATCAGGATCTACCAGGAATGTTCGCAGATTGTAATGCCAACACTAGACGGAATGGCGAGATTGAATTTTTATAGTTACTCCCTCACGCGGGAAAACATGATTGCGAATATTTCCCATCAACAATTTATACAATCCATACAGTCACATATTATATACTAAATTGAAGAGAAATTATGAAAATGATATATTTTTTATGATGAAAAAATCTATTGAAAACATATTACGAAAAATATGGGAATGGTTTGTCGAACATATTATTTATTATATTTAGCAAGTATTCATACAACATTTACATATATTTAATTTTTTTGTTCTTGTTTTTTTTTATCGAACGCGTTCGGTAAAATTTTACTTCCATTCGTCATGACCTTCCGATTTCTGCAAGAAAAAAATACTTCTTATAATAATAATTATATTATAATTTTTGCAGCTACAGATGTGTTTTTTTTATTGAATTTCATTTCGCTCCGCGATTACCTTTTATACAGTAAAATTGGCCGCTATTTTCTGGGAAATTTTCTCTCTGTGCGGGATTTTTATGGGGTTCAGGTATTTTAAACCTCTTCCACCTGTCTTTTATCAGTCTCTCGCTTCCCACGAAACAATGGACAATGGTTCACGGAACGTCGGTTATTTGTACCTGTATGCCACCTCTCAGAGGGCCCACGAATCCATCATTTTGGTAGATCAAGAAAAACGACAATGATGAAAATTCAATCTAGCATTTCGAACGAAACAATTCAATTCCGGTACAATTCGTTCAAATTTTCATCGCATTATAGTTCCAAGGAAATTGCAAAGAATTTCGCCACCGAAACTTCATCATCTTATCGAAAAATCGACGGCAACCGTAGATTTCAACTAAATTATTCCTTGAAAAATAATACGCTGAGAGAAAAAATGAGCTCTGCCGAAAAATTATGTTCCACGTGAGAATATTTGATGGAGTAGAACAGATGTATGAGGGAAATTAACCAACTTGATAGAAGGAAATTTAATATATTTCACAAAAATTAAATTTTTGTCGTGATCATCAGAAATATCAGAAGAATTCGAACTGTTGCCAGGAAAAAATATACTCTATTGTACGACAATCATTTGATCTGAGAGAACTCCATAGGTCTATACCATAGAAAGAATACATTGACGAGGAAAGAATATTTTTTTCCCAAAAAAAAATAGTCCCCTCGAAATTATTTAGTTTTGCCAATAACACAGTTATCGGCAAGAAAATTGTAGTTTCCTCTTGAAATTATCATTTGTTCCATGGAAATTATAAGTGTTTATTGGACAAAGATATACACTACTCAATAACATTCACTTGATAACACCGGAGCCTCATATAATTCTCTGTAGAACGAATGTATTTATCCGAAAGCCATATAAATGTCTCACGAGAACAATAACTACTGCGAAAATTATCATGTTTTGGTGAAAATTTTCTTTTTTGTCCACATGTAAAATGATTCAACACGACAAAAGATCTCTTCAGGGGAACATATAATTTTTCGGCAGAACTAATTTTTTCTTGCTAGTTCAATTCAAAAACCACTAGTTCAATTGTCCATGAAACTTCAATTTTTTTATAACACTGCAAGTGAAGTCTCTGCACTTTCAAGTTTGTCATGAACCATTGAATATTCATGTTCAACTGCTCAGAAAATAACGAGTTCCAGCGTCCAACTGCATAAGCAGAATTGAATACTAGAAGTCTCGACGATTGAAATTTCTCCTCGTCCTAGAATCTTAAGAATCAGTCGTCATTTTTCTAGGTAAAAGTAACGGACTTTCAGTGTATGTCACATAACACCGAAAATACTTCTCTTTTTCTCCACAAATAATCATAAATATTCAGTACCTCCCGAAGATTCAGTTCCATTCATCTCAAATTTCTCATGAGAACGCGAAGATCCCAATTTTCCTGAAGAATCCCAAGAATTTCAAAACTTCCGAAAATGTTCTCTTCTCATCCGGAACTTATATTTCCGGCGCTTCCTCCTCTTCCCCTCAATTTCCCAATTACGATACCGCAAGTGTAAAGCCGTGACCACGGTGTTTGCCACCGTGAAGCGCACGGCTCGACCACTCGAAAAAATAAAACCAAAACAAACAGAAACAAGTGGAAAATTGCTTTAGTCACAACCTAGTCGATTTATTAGCAAAAATATATATTTTTGCTAATAAATTAGCAATTTGCTCCCGAATGGAATTTCCATGAGGATGTAATCTTAATTAAATTCAATGATTTATTGAAGTTAATGTTAAAATTTTAGACATTTCATAGAATAGATAAAAGGTAATGGAAATAAATAAATGAATAAAATTTACTAGAAAAACTGCTTTTTCTCCAAGAAATTCTATTGAGTTTCTATTGAAACTCTAAGAATTCTATTAGCGATTTGCAAGAGAAAATCGTTTTTTTATGATTACTGAAAGAATCATCAGTAATAGCAATTAAATCAGGGCTTGAAAAGTATATTCTTATGAGGGATCAACCATATTTCACGAATTTTTTCATGAATATAGGCTTTAATAAGCTCTATTCACTGACACCAATTAAAATTCAATTTTTCACGCAGATTCGAAAAAATTGATATTTTTCCAAAAAACGATTTTTCAACGATCACTCAAGAAATTGTCATCAAAATGGAATTAGTCATGACTCAAAAATTGATAACAATACGCTCTTGATTCTATCAGAATATGATGGGGGTCGCACAATTCGTTGTTGAGTTACAGCACATTGTTTATGCGATTTGAAAGAGAAAATCGGTTTTTTGATGATTACTGAAAGAATCATCAGTAATAGCAATTAAAGCAGGGCTTGAAAAAGTATATTTCAGTGGCTTCTTAATCGAGTTGAAAAATGGTGAGAACAGAATCATTGCTTATCAAGTTACACAATACCGTCATGAGCTTTTTATATCAAAATCTCTATCTCTATTAAACTCAGGCACTAGTCTATTATGTTGAATACTTATTCATATTGATTCATGGTCCCGACTAACTTCTGACAGAACCTGGGTTAAACTCTGGCTAAATCCTGAATAAACCCTGATTAAATCCCGGCTCTACACTGATTAAACCGTGATTGAAGCTTTNATATTGATTCATGGTCCCGACTAACTTCTGACAGAACCTGGGTTAAACTCTGGCTAAATCCTGAATAAACCCTGATTAAATCCCGGCTGTACACTGATTAAACCGTGATTGAAGCTTTATTAAACCCGGACTGAAAACGAATTCGAGTCTTGAGAGGGTCTCAATGTAGAATTATTTGACAGAACGAAATAACACGCAAAATTTTGATGACATTTCAATTGATGATAGTACTGTGACATGAAAAAATAGGAGAGAATTGGATTCGCGATAGTAACTATACTCTAAAAATAGTATTTTCATCACGCTGTGACGAAAAGTGAACTTTTCGGCACGCTCCGCGTGTCTAAAAGTCCAATTTCCGCCACATTGTGATGAAAAATATTGTTCGTAACTCGTGAAAAAATGTTTTTTAAAAAACACTTTTTTGCACTCGTTACGAAATATACTAATTCCAACTCCTGAGGCCAAAATTAGTTCCCCTGACACAAAAAATTGGAAATTTCGCATTTGACCGATACAATGCTTCCATTCGGAAGCAAAAAGAGAATGACAGTCGAGTTCGATGAACATATTCGAATCGAGTCGAACAAGAAGTGTAAAACGAACGGCTGAATTATCCGCTATTATCCGCCACTGAATCATGATGGGATACCGTTAATCGTGTCTGCACATGGCATTGAGAAAAACCGCGTTGTGATGCGTAACGATTACAATGTAGCTCATGTGGCGACTTTCAACGCTGTGTCCATTTGATTATCTGCTGTGTCACATGCTAGTTTTTGGGGCATCGCTGCTACATTATCCGCGAGGGAATTAATGGTCAGGTGGCCTTGTCAGACATCCGGTTGGCCGAGTGGTTCCGATGAGATAGTTGCAACAAATTTTCGTCCTCAAGATGATAATGACGCATGAAAAAGTTTCACCTGATTTCGTATTGAATATTTTATTAGATTTCTATGGAGTTTTTGTTGAGAATTCTATTAGGTTTTGGATGATTCTATTGAATTCTGTCGAATTCCGCAGCTTTTCTGCGCATTTTTTTAATAAAATAAAAATAAAATAAAAAATGAAAAATGTGTAATAGAAAATACTCTAGAGAAAAAATCAGTAGAAATTCTTCTCTAGAAATCCCTCGACATGAATTTTCTAAAGTCATTCCACTCTATTTTTTTCTTTCTTTTCATTCCAATTTCAAGCAAAAAATTAGAAAATTTAAGTCGCAGAATTTCTATAGAAAATATCTCAATTGAATAAGTTGTATTGAAAAATCCAATTCTATTGACGTTTTTATAGAATTTTTTCCACTGAACGTTTCTCAATGGAATCGGCCAAAACTGATAGAAAGTTCAATAGAAATCCAGTGGAATTTTCTAGTGAGTTCGCAAGGTTTTTGTGTAAAATTTTTTCGTGCGTGAAAAAAAAATATAGAAACGGCTAGTGCATTCGTTAGAAAATTCTATTGAAAATTTAATTTCATATTCAGAAATTTCTACGGTATTACAGAAAATTCAACAAAATTTTCGAATTTTCTAGAACATTCCCGCATTTCGAAAATATAGTTAGCACAACGTCGTAACTATTATTAGAACTAAAACATAATTTCCTATTCACTATTTCCATTAAATTTCTCCAGATCAAGCGATACCTGGAGTTCTCCCTCTCAACACCGACAACTCCACTCCCGAGGTCCAGAAGTCCTCCAAGGAGGGCCTGGAAATAAAGAAAAAACCAACGACAGTTACCGATTTTAAACCTAAGGATGACACTAAACATCAGAAGCCTAAAGACGTCAAGAATGAGGACAAACCGATGAAGAGTTTCACTTCCAAGACGACCGATGAACCGTCTATTTTCCTCCCAACCGTAAGGCCTCCGAGTAATGAAACAAATTCAAATATTGAGAGTATTTCACCGTTTCTGCTCCGGGGGGAGCCCATCGTGATGACTGAGGATTCCAGTGCTTCGAGGGCCCGAGCGCTGAACATCACAGCTCCGGAGCCCACGAACTCACTGCATGCTAATCTGACTGATTTGTCTGACGTCAGCATGGATGACGAGGATAAAGAAATCGAAGGTTTGTAGATTTTTATAAAATGTCAAGTTTACAATGATTTTTGATTATTTATGATTTTTTATTATTTAACCATTGACTATCCGTTGTTCAACCGCCAGACAATTCTACTGAATTTCTATCGAACTTTCTATTATTTTTTGAAAAAGGCGAAATACTAATCAATTGCATTAAAACCCCCTGAAATTGAACCCAAAAATTGCTGCAACTTATTGAAAAAAAAATTGCTGTCTCTAAAACAAAAACAAATCATTCGAAATTGAATGCTAATGTCATTCCCAAGCCTCTGTGAAAAAATTGGTGTTTTCTTTTTTGTCAGTATATGCAAGATCTTCAGCAAAAAAAATTTTTTAATCTAAAAAATTAATTAATTAATTAATTGAAAAATTAAAATTGGAAAAATTATCCAATGAACGATTCCACGAAGATTAACTAATGAACGGCCTCTGTTCTACAAACTTTACGGAGCAATCCAACTACCTTGTGATATGAAACAATCATTTAGTGTGAAATAATACAATTCTGTCTGCAATAAGTCATAAGTCATAGCAGAAATGTGACACCAAACTACATGTCCCTTTGATTCCTTATTCTTACTTTAATTATTTTCAAAAATAAATGGAAGAATAAAAAATACAATAAACCACCAACTTAATTATGCGCGTGCGGTCTCTTTCTAGTTAGTGAAAAAAAACAGTTGTGTTCACCACAAAATAAAAACTGATTTTCCTCTGTCTGCAGGAGGTGAATTCGTAGCAAGTCAGAATGCAACTCAGCAGACAGGCCACCCGACGTTTCCCTCCCCAGCGATTACTTGCCGAGATGGCAACAAGATGTACGGAGTTGGTGAGAAAATATCGAGAGGATGCGAGGAAATGTGTGTTTGTGGTGGAGGTGGAGTTGTGAGAGATTGCAAGCCACGCTGCGTGAGCCCATCCTTCAGGGCAGGTCGAGGAACTCATGATCCATTGTGCGAGGAGCATCATGTGGATGCAGACGGATGCTGTGCCACCTTGATCTGCGCTGATTCAGCGCCAGAACCCGAGGAGAGCTGTGTCTTTGGGAATAAGACCGTGGCGAGGGGTCAGAGAGTTGAGGATGGATGCTCGCAGGTCTGTGTTTGCGAGGCCGGGGGCGTTCTTAAGTGTCAACCTAGGTGCCCTCCCAATGACACCAGCTCGGGGATTAAACAACATGATCGGTGTGTTGCACTCCCAGATCCAAGGTGAATAATTATGGATTTTTTATTTTGAGAATAAAATATTAATACTTTGTTCATTTATTTTATTCATTTATCCATTTATTTATTTATTTATTTATTTATTTATTTATTTATTTATTTATTTATTACTTATAATTCTGACGGACATTGTCCTTTGAATAAAAAACTGTCCTAAAAAAAAAACTGTACTAAATTTCAAAAGACCATTCTTTAACATTGAGTATTGAAAACCTATTCATTTCAATTGAGGAATGCTGTTAAAGTGAGAACAGGAAATGTTATTGAGTTGAGAAAATTTTTGTTTTTTAATTGAGAAATTTCAAAAAAGATAAAGTTCAGGATGAGTTAAATATTAATTCACCATCAATTAAATCAAGGTGTCAGGCGTGAGAATTTTAATAACAAGAAATTACGAATTACATTGAGACAGAATTATAAATTTCAGAAGTATTTTAAAAGATATTTGAAACATGATGCGATGAATTTCAAAAAATCAAAAATCATGAATTCGAGCACAAGAATGTTTTTAACTAAAATATTCTGCATAATAATTAAATTATTCTGAAGAACCCACATTTCCTTGGAATCATCTAAAATGTGGGTTAATTCAATTACAATTATGCTAGATTTGCGAAAAAAATCGCTGAGAATTGGAACTTTTTCGTCTGATCTTCAAAATCTTGTTGGACCACACATTTTGCATTTTTTCTAAAAACTAATTCGAAAATAATTTGAAAGAATATCAATTTACAAAATCAGGATTCCGACAAACATTTGTTTTATTGACGAATGTTCGTTATTAATAATTCAGAGCATGTTTTGGCAAAAAAATATAAAAACAATCATAATTCCGCCCAGCTTTCTAATTATGCACTTGCCATTCACGTTTCCCTCCCCGTTTTTCACGTAATTATTCATTTTTTTCACCTGAAAACTCTCGCTCCTTCCGCACATTTCCCCTACTCTGCTTAATTTCGAGATTGCAATCATCAGATCAACTCTTCATAATCATTTAATTGTTTTTCAAGTTTCTACAACAATACCAATTACTCATTTTTTCCAGAGATTCTTGCTGCACTATCACTCTGTGCGATGTGAGCTTGGGTGAGCACGAGATCAAATCAGAGAATGCCGCTGATCTCACGGTTAATCTCGCTGACGTGAAAGTACTAAATTCGACAGCAATTAAACTCAAGTTGTCTTCTGAATTATCGAATGGTGCTGCTGTGGAAATTTCTGAGAACAGTCATGTCTGGAGGCAACAAAAACCTGATAAAGGTAATTACCATTTCCCACTGCGTGCAGTAAGAACGAATGGAATCGAACAATAAGTGTTTTCAGAAATTTCTTCTGACCTTTCCTTCTGATATTAATTGCCATTGAAAGACGTCAATCTCTCCTATTGATAATTACATATTCAATGAAGAAGTTTTTCAAAGTTTTTCGAGGTTCCTTCATCTTGGAAAGGAATTGGCTCGGGAAAAAGAAAATGTAGAACATTTCGTTCTTAAATAAATTATTGACGATAACTGGAAATGAGTTAATTTTTCACTTCGAAGACTAAACGTCTGGCTCTCGTCATTCGCTTCAATTGTCTATTCAATAAAAAATCTGTTTGTTTTTCGACAAGAAATGTTTCTTAATATTTCCTGTTCTTAATTTCTTAATTCTTAATTCTCAACTTTTACAGTTATTTCAATGACTAAATTCAAATCAATTTTTATTTATTTCAATGAAAATGTTTGATTTATAAAAAAAATTATTAGTTTATTCCATGTAAATGCTTTGGTAGAAATTAATAAATTTTTTTATGCAAAGAAAGGATTATTTAATATTAATTGAGTCGTTCTCTTCATTTTCTGAACAATCATTTAATTTCTAATTAATAAATTCTTCATTTCCATCAGTTAATTTTAAACAAAAAACATTTGTCTTTCGCAAAAAAAGAATAATAAAAATAAAACAAAAATACTATTCATATTTGAATAAAAGTTTCATTCAAACGAACCATTTCTCTGTATGCAGATGGAGTTATATCAAAACTTGAGCCAGCCCACAGCTACTACGTCCGAATCGCAGAAGGAGTGAGAACAGGACCCGCAGTCCGCGTGATCCTCCCTGCGGAGGTGATAAAGGCCAACATAACAGAGAAGATGGACAAAAACTCGTGCTTCCATCGTGGAAAATCCTACAAAATCGGGGCCGAGTGGTACGACGAGTGCATATCCTTCTGCATGTGCAGCGAGGGTCCAAAAACCGAATGCGTAACCATTGAGTGCCCCACCGACTTCGGTTTGGACGTTCTGGACCCCCACTGTCTCGATTGGGAGACAGTGCCTCCGGATTTCGTCCCCAAGGAGCCACAGTGCTGTCCTCAGGTAGGAAAACACCTCGTGAAGTTGATCTTCTGTCGTCTAAAACGATTTTTTAACCATTTAAACAGCGAGTTTCAAATAACTATAGTCATAGATATTATTGTTGTTTTAATGTCACCTCAATAAACATTAGATCCAACTATATTATCCGGTATTTTAGTCATGGATAACATTTTTCAAACTATTTTTCATTAGACACGAACAAATTTCGTACGAAATCTAGCGAATTCTATAGGAAATTCTATTAGTTTTTGGCGGGTTCAATTGAAGAATTCCGCAGATTTACTGCCCGTTTTTTTTTCGTAGAAAACATCAGTAGAATGAACATCCATTGAACATTTCCATCGAAAAAAATTCACCCATAAGCTGCGGAATTTTTCAATAAAATCGTCCAAAAACGAATAACAAATTGAATAATTAACTAACTTTATAATTAAACTGATAATGAAATTAAATTGCTATGTAAAATCTGATCAATTAATTTTTATTATTTTGTATGCACACCATATATCACACACGTTGTGAGCTGCATTATTAGCTAACACTATCGAACTCAAATGAACCAATAAAAATAAAATAAATGGAATGAATAAAATAAATCAAATATATAAAATAAAAGAAAAGTAAATAAAAATAAATAAAATTACAATACGATTTTCTACCGAATTCGCTAGGCTTTTCTATAATTTGTTTCTTGACATGATTACTCAAATAATTAATAATATCCTCGCGATAATTTTCATTTCTCTAGGATATTTCAATAATTCAACCAACACTACTCAAAATAATATTTTCTATCAATCCTTGCAGCAAGTTCGATGCAGAAACAATGGCTCTTGCGACTACGAAGGCAGAACATACGACAATTGGAGTGAAATACCGAGCAATATCACTGGATGTGAGAAGAGGTGCTACTGCGAAATGGGAAAAGTTGCCTGTCAGGCTGCATGTCCACCAGTCACAGCTCTACCACCTCCGACATTGCAATGTCCATCCAATCAGGCGACCCTGACGAAGTTGCCGGGTGACGAGTGCTGCTCTCACTGGGTCTGCGACGCTGCCACTCCAGGCAAGTTTCTCATTATTATTATTTTATTTTATTTTCATCTTCACCTCACCTCACTCATTTCTTCTACATGCCCCAGTAATGGACATGTTCTACTAACGGTGTCCTTGGGTGGAGGTTCTTCTGCATTCATTTGAGGGGGGACCTACGAAATTTAAAAGTAGTTGGTGGATAGCTTCGGGGAATGAGGAAAATGATCTTCTGAGTATTTGAGAGGGGAAAAGGTCTCTAGTTTCCAAAACCCAAGCAGCATCTAGACATTGTAGTGAGAATAAACCGTGGAAAACCTTGTAGCTCTCTTTTTTCTCATTCTTTGAAGATACAATTTCTGTGAGTGGATTTGAGTCATTGAATCTTCCCTGAATCCAATGAACTCCCTCTCTAAGGGGCACAATGCATCAATGAATTACGACTGAATTGGCTTATCCGTATGTCCTTATCAAGACGCCCCTCCCAAAACCGACCCAAACCCTCAAATATTCTTCAGAAACTAGAATGCATTCCCAGGAATTTCGTCGTTGAAAATTCACAGATTTTTTTTTTTTAAATCAATGAAGGCCAAATTAAAGAATATATCCACTCGCAACAAATTTAGTTGAAAATGAATAATAAAAAAAATTATATTCTTTAATTTTCAATTAATTTTTCCTCGGTGTAGCTGATAAAAAATATTCAAGTTTTCTTCTTTCGCATTTATTGAAAATACATGTGTTGTACTGGATTTAAATCCTAAAGTTTACATTAATCTAAAAAGTCCATATATTCACGCACGAAAAAATTTAATGGAAAGACCTATCGAATTCTTTAGAAAATTCTATTGAATTTCTATTAAAATTTGTATTAGTTCTTGGCTGATTCTATTGACATGTTCAGTAGAAAACATTCAATAGAAAAAGTCAACAGAATTCGATTTTTCTACATAACTTATTCTTTTCATATATTTTCTATAGAGTTTGCTCGACTTAAATTTTCTCAGTTTTTTTCATTCTATTTTTCTTTTCTCCTCATCAAGAAAATCAAACGAAAAAACTTGGAAAATTTGAGCCGAGCAAATTCTATAGAAAATATCTCAAAAGAATAATTTGTATAGAAAAATTGAATTCTATAGACTTTTTCACTGAATATTTTCTATTGAACATTTCAATAGAATCGGCCAAAAACTAATAGAACAGTTCAATAGAAATTCAGTCGAATTTTCTAACGAATTCGATAGGTTTTTCTATTAAATCTTTTCGTCCGTGTTGCATCCATGGAGAAGGACTGAATGTAAGGTATCTTCCTATCAACAAATCCCCCCCCCCCAAGTATTCTTCCACAACTATGCATGCTCTTCGACCCCTGTATATACCCCCGGAAATCTGTAAATATGCATGAACGATACAGGAATAAATCGGAGAGACAACCCTCCACGTACAAAAAAATTTGTAAGGAAAACCTAGCGAATTCGCTATGAAATTAATATTCTATAATTCGTTTTCGTTTGAACTTTCCATTAGTTTTTGGCCGATTCTATTGAAAAATTCGGCAGCTTTCTGTGCCCTTTTTCGATATGAATGTTTAATGAAAAATATTTTATAAAGAAAATCCATAGAATTCGATTTTCCCATACAATTTAATGTATTGAGATATTTTCTATAGAAATTCCTCGGCTCGAATTCTCTATGCCCCTCTGTTTTTTTAACGAAAAGGGAAGAAAGAAAGAGTGGATAAAAAGAACAAAATTCATGTCGAAAAATTCTCCCAGAAAACGCATCAATAAAAAAAGTTGTTCTCAAAAGCTGAAATTCTGCTGAGCTGTTCTGTAAAATAGTTTTCTGTACTGCCTCTCACGATTTCTCGTCTGGGAATTGGTATTGCATACTTCCCAAACTCGAAAACTTGAAAATCACTAGAAAAAAATCTTGTCCCGGGCTGCTGCGATGGGTTTTTTTTACCCGTGTGGTTGGCCAGTCCTCGTCTTCGGCTCGGACGCCAACGCCACACGAGTAAAAACCCCACCGCAGCAGCCGGGAAAAATACTATTTCTCACGCACCGAAAAGCTGCGGAATTCTCCAACAGAACCGGCCAAGAACTGCTAGAAAACCCCCTAGAATGTTCTACCGAATCCGCTAGATTCTGCAAATGTTCTCGTGCGTGTCAAACCACAAGCCAGCCAACAGCCCTGAAACCTTTGCTCCTTTCCAGGGATGGACCCGTCCGCGCAGCCCCCCCGCCGTCCTGACGCCCCGAAGGCCCCGGCTGCCCCCTCCCCAGTGTCAAACCCCCCCATTCCCGATAGCGAGAAAACCACCACAAGCATATCCCCCACGATAACCCAGAGTCACACCCCCCCGAATTCCGTATCTCCCCCGATGATCCCGTACTACAACGGTCCCTACGACCCCAGCTACAAGCCCACCGAATCGAGTATCGAGGAGATATTCGGGCTGTCGACCCGAGCCCCTGAGAAATCGGTGCCCCACGGAAAGGACAAGTCGAAGTCGAAATCCGACGCGAAGAAGCCGGTGGAGCCGATGAAGCCCCACAAGGAGGCGGTGGAGCTGCTGACGAGTCACAATTTCCCAGGGCCACTGGCTCCGAGCAAGTTCCCAGGGCCGACAAGAGAGCCCTCGAGCCTCGACGCCCCGCCGAAGAACCCGAACAAGCTCTCGGAGCCGGAGAACAGCCCAGAGCCCCAGTTCGTCCCCCTGAGTCACAACGATCGACCTGACTACGCCTTCTCCCCCAGCAACGGGGAGAACATTCCTCCCACTCGATTCGACCCCAATCAGTTCGACAATGCGGACGTGGGGCCACCCTACATCGCCACCAGCGGGGGGAAGAAGAAGAAGCCGAACACTGATGGCTTCCCCGACGACTCCAAGACGAAACCCGCAGGACAATTCCCAGGGAAGGTCAAGCCAGGACAGCGAAAGCCAGAGCAGGAGATTCTCCCCGACGATCTGCTGCACTTAATCAATCTCCATCATCCCGGACTCACTCAGCTCGATCATCCATCCCCCCAGGGACACCCGGGACTCTACGAGTTCCATCAGCAGATTTCGAATCACGGCGAGTCCAGTCAAGGCGCCAATCAGATACAGCCCAATTACTTCGGCGTTCAGGAGGCCGTCAAGAAGAGACCGCAGATTGTTGCGCATAAGAATGAGAATGGAGAGACCACTTATCATATTCACACGTCGGAGGTGCCCAATTCACCGCATCAGATCGAGGAACTGCTGGCTCACATCAGCCAGCACGACTCGAATCTCGGGCCCTTTCAACAGTACCCTAATCAACCGGCTATTGTTCATAATTATCAGAATGGCCCACCTCCACCACCTAGGATAGGACAGATTGCCAATTCGGGAGTTGTCACGCACTTGAATCATCCGTTCAGTCAAGGTTCGTCTGGGGTTTACGAGTTTGGGGATATGTCATTTGCTTTTCATTCATTTCATTTGGGGGGGAGGGGAGATGCTGTAAATGTTACAGGTGTCTGTGGGAAGGGGGATTTTTTCTTTTTTTTTTTCAATTTTTAATTTTATTTTTTTTATTTTTTATAGTTATTAATTATAAGGGGTAATTATTATAATGTTCATTACACTATTCATTTTATTATAATTCTAATTTTTTTAATTTTCTTAATTTTTTATAATTTATAATAATTTAATTATAATTTTTTTTTCTATTTTTATAAATTTTTTGGTTGTATTTTTCATTTTTTTCAACATTTATGATACGGAAGATTTCAAAGTAACTGTGAATTCCAGTTTTCTTATTCTTGTCTTCGGGCTACTTAAAAATTTGGAATTCAGTTGAATTCTCGGTGAAATCTGGAATTTCATGATTTTTTTCTTCCCTGGATCGAATTCAATGTTGCTAAAATTGTTAGATGATTCATTGAAATTTCAAGCAATTTTGGCATTCAAAAGTTTATGATGAGATGGAAAATTTCACTGCAACTGTGAATTCTATGAAAATTAATATAATGAAATTTTCAGTTTTATATTAATTGAAAGTTCACCTTAATTTGATGCTGAATGTCCACATTTTCATTAACAATTCAAGTGAATTGGGGAATTCTCGTCTTCCATTATGAAATTTTAATGAATTTCATAGTTGAAAATTCACTATTTAATTTAAAAAATTCAATTGGAAAGTAGAAATTAATTAATTACTTCCCAGCTGTTCAAAATTTGGAATTCCGTTGCATATTCTGTGAAATCCAAAATTTCCTGGAATCTCAGTCCAGCTATTCCGTGAATATCAGTAAAATTCAGATAAATATAATCTTTTATTTTCAATGCATCGACCATTGAACGTAATTTGATGCTGAATATTCATGTGTCGATTAAAAATTCATGTGAGTTTGGAAATTTAGTCTCTTCCTGTTGCTCAAAAATTTCGAGTTTCATTGCATTCTCTCAATCAGTCGATTGCTTGTCCTGTCACTTGTGACATTACAGATATTTGAAAAGTATCTAGAGGTCTGCATGCATCCCCTCTCTCCTCAACCCTCGCGTCTCACAATGTTACAAAAAATTATAGGTGGAGGCGATAGATTCCCCGGGGGTTTTCCGATCCACGGAATCGGCGCCTACCCCGACAAGATCAGCCAGTCCTCCTCGGACGAAATAGTCATCAAAGCCCTGGACCCGCTGGACGACAGAACTGTCCGTGTAGTCTTCACTGTCCCCCCAGTTCTCGTTGGACTCCACGGACGTGTTGAGCTGCGGTACACGAACGACAAGTCCAACCACGATCCGTCGACCTGGAAATCCCAGATATTCATTCCTCCGCATGATCTCATCGAGACACCGCAAATGGAATTCGATCTCGACAGCCTTGAACCCGCCACTGAGTACCAAATTCGAGTCACTGTCAATCTCAAGGACATCGCCAACAGCCCCACCAGCAGAATTTATAATGTGATGACACTGGAGAAACATGAGGAACTGACTACTCTTCCTCCGCAGATTCCCATAGACGCAGAGCTTCAGGTAGTTCATTTTTTATGGATTTATTCATTTATTCATGTATTTATTTATTTATTTATGCATTTGATTTTATTTTTTTGGGATAAACGCAGGGAAAGCTAAACCCATAAAATATAATTACCGTTAAATCTTGTAGCCGTCAATTAGTTAACATTACTCTTAAATTATTTATTTATTTAAGTATCATCAATTTAAATATTTAAATTTTTAACGATTTCATTAATCAGTGATTTAGGCAGGAAGACGACGATTATTTGTGTAATCGAAAATCCCCTTTTGAGAAATTAGAATTATTGACTTAATGGTAAATTTACTATTCCATATAATCAAATATTTAATTCATCATTAATCGGAAAATTTGATCGGAAGATTTGATTAAAATTTGATCAGTATATTTTGAACTGTTTTTAATCTGAGGGTCAAAATCTTGTAATTTTACAGAAATGTAATATTGATGGAGATCCCTGGACAGAAAAAGAAAAATCGATTGAATGAAGGTTCATGTTTTGATTGAAAATTCAAGTTTATAAGTTCAAATAATTTCATAAATTTAGTGGATAATTTAGTGGAGAAAATAACCAAATTTGAAATTTCATTGAAATTTAAAAACAAATTCAACATTTTTGAACAGCAGGAGAACGGGGATTTCCCTATTTCCTTGATTTTTAAACCAAAACATGAATATTCAGCACCAAATTCTGCTGAATTCTTATTTAATTGGGTTTCCAATTAAATTGAATGCAATTCAATTATTGCAATTTAATTAAATGCAATTTTAATCGGATTTTCATTAGATTTTTCCATAAAATTCTGAATTTTTTAATGAAAAAATTCCTTGGAATTCCAGTGGAACTGTAGGTGTGATTAAAATGTCCAAAACATTCTGACAGTCTAGCTTTGGCCAAAATAAGCGTTTTCATATAACAGAAATTTTTTTTTTCAATATTTTCGGTTTTCCTCATTTTTCATATTTCCGGTTTTATATAACAGATAAAAACAGAAAAACAGAAATTCACGTTTATAATAACGAATCTGCTAGGTCGTGGAGACCAACTCAAGTTGGGTGAATGTCATGTGGAAGAAGTTCACGGAGTACGAGATGCAGTTCATTGACGGCGTTCAATTGAGGTATAAAGAGCGTGATGGGAAGGTCTACGCTGCAACGCCACTCATTCATCGCGCTGTCACTAGTTACATAATTGAGAATCTCAAGCCAGCGACTGTTTATGAAATTGGAATCTCGATCATTCCATTTCCGGGGCAAACTACTGAACTCGTCAGTGATAAAACGGTGAGTATTACCGTGGATGAGAACCTTTGAAGCATTTTTTTTTCTGTTAATCGCTGGCCTAAATTACGAAATTATAATAGAAATGACAACCATAATTCTTTTATATTCATTTTTGTTCCGTCTTCGTGATTAGATTTAGCAAATTTCATTCATTTTCATTCTCATTGTATAGCAATGTTATTAATTTTCATTCTCATTTTTTTTATTTCTGTAATAACTTGAAAATCAATAACATTTTTAACTATTTTGTATTGTGGATAATGATCAATACAGTTTGCATACTATTTGCACCAATTAAAAGTTGACGAATGGCTTTAATAGTTAACGAGCTTCATTAACAGCCGCTAAATTGTTCCACAAAATAATTATATGTTATTTCTGCTGATTATAAAATGATAATTATTTTTCAATCTGCTAAATTTTATCCCCAGTAATAATATTACTCTGCTTTTTCCTGGTTCATGTGAAATTGTTTTGGCTACATATTAGTACATGAGGTTTAATTTCTATTACACTGAGAAAAAAATTAACTCTAGAAGAAACTTCAATATCTTTCCCAAAAACTAAATTTTTGTCGTAATCATCAGAAATATCCCTAGAAGAATTCGTTCTGTTGGCAGGAAAAAATATACTCTATTGTACGCCAATCATTTGATCTGAGAGAACTCCACAGGTCTATACCATAGAAAGAATACATTGACGAGTAAAGAATATTTTTTTCCCAAAAAAAATTGTCCCCTCGAAATTATTTAGCTTTGCCAATAACACAGTTATCGCAAGAAAATTGTAGTTTCCTCTTGAAATTATCATTTGTTCCATGGAAATTATAAGTGTTTATTGGACAAAGATATACACTACTCAATAACATTCACTTGATAAAACCGGAGCCTCATATAATTCTCTGTAGAACGAACGTATTTACCCCAAAGACATATAAATGTCCCACGACAACAATTACCACTACGAAATTATCATGTTTTGGTGGAAACTTTCTTTTTGTCCACAAGTAAATTCATTCAACACGACAGAAGATCTCTTCGGGGAATGTATTATCTGTTTCGCTTCATGCCATAATCCCGCATTAACATGTGAATTCCCCGAAATTGCTCTTTCAAGTGAACAGAATTCTCCTCATTCCCATTAATTCCTCGCCTCCAATTGGCTTCAGCCGAAGCGTATAATTCCCCAGCCAATCAATCAATTCACATTTCCCCTTCGTCTCTACCCTCAGGTGGAGATAATAACAGCAGTGGAGCCCGACCCCTACTCCTTCGACGTCAAAGTGGAGATCAAAACCGTGAAATCCCAGGACGTCGAGATCTCCTGGAGCGGCGTTCCCTATCCAGAGGACAAATACGTCAACATCTATCGAGCGATCTATCAGAGTGACTCTGGAAAGGAGGACACGAGCACCTTCAAAATAGCTAAACGAGACTCGCTAGCTAAAACTCTGATAAGCGACCTCAAGCCAGGCACCAGGTACCGCCTCTGGCTGGAAGTTTACCTCACCAATGGGCGCATTAAAAAGAGCAACGTCCAGGATTTCGTGACGAAGCCAGGGGTCATTCTTCAAGCTGGTGTCACTCACCAGGGAAAATTGGCATCTATTCCCCTGCACGAGGGGGACTACTATGGCCCCCTCGTCATTGTCGCTATCCTCGCATCGCTGTCTATTCTCTCCACTCTCATACTACTCATGATGCTGATGAAGAGGAGGTCCAGCAGCAAGGCTGATATATCACCGAGGAAAACAACTTCAGCTTATGATAATCCTTCCTATAAGGTAGAAATACAACAAGAAACTATGGGTAATTCATTTGCTCTTTCATCTTTCTTTTATTTCCAATGGGGAGGAGGAAGTTTCTCGTTTCGTATGAAATTAATTCAGTAGCGAAGTGGTAAAAGGAGGTGAGTCAATTTTGACTATTTACCAGTTTTCAATCAATATCTCGGAATCTGAGGGAGATAGCAAAATTTTTGTTGTAACATTTTTTGTGGAGCCCATTGAGTGTTACAACTATTGTGGTTACGAAAATTTCGCCAGCTCCTTTAGATTCGGAAATATTCCTCAAAAACTCAACTGGGAGATAAGTCGACTTATCTCAGTTTACCATTTCACTACTGAATTTATTCGTTAATTGATTCGGGTATTTGTTGGGTGTTTTTTAGTGATGAGAATTCGAACTCTGTTTTTATCTTCAGGGAAAGTGTCTTCAGAGTGAATATTTGGGGTATTTTCAGGATTCATTAGTTAATTGACTGATCATTAATTCGTTTGATGAATCAGTTGATCAATTCGGAAATGAGTGAGATTTAAAAAAAAAAAAAACTCACTTAAATGTCTCTTGAATTATGAAATTTAAAGATGCGTTTTGGTATTTTTAGTTGCAACTTGAGAAGATTAATTTTATAATGAGAAAAATCATCAATTCATAAATAAGAATTGATGATTCTGGAAACTAGAAACTTTTGTCTCCGTAAAAAAAATTCCACTTGTGCCTCTCAGTTACATAAATCTGATTTTATTTCAGACTTGTGAGGACGCAGTCACAATCACGAATGGCCACAACAAAGCCACTGAGCACGAGATGTCAACCATCAATTCAAATGATACGAATACTAAAGAGAGCGTTTAATCGAGGGATTCCATGAAATTGTACTTATCCATGACGGTATTACAAACATTATATCGATGGAGGTACGAAATTATCCGTCCATGCGTCAGTCCAGTGTCGTAATGCATCACCTTCATTTCTTGACCTTAGAACCAGTAAAACTGCCATTTTTTCAGCGTGCTGATGATTCATTTCGGCTAGACATCGATAAATTATGCGATAAGGTTTTTTCTTATTTTATGTTGCCGAGTGTGGATAGCAATCGACGACATTCAGGGGGAATCGAGGTAAAATGGGCAGTCCAGCCGTCAATATGATCATTTTTATCCCAGCAACACCCCAATAACGCGCAAAAAAATTCATAGAAAAACTTAGTGAATTTGATGAAAAATTTTATTGCATTCGTGTTGGACTTCTATTAAAAGTTTAATTAGTTTTTGGTCCATTCTATTGATGAACTTAGCAGATTTACTGCGCGTTGTTTACAGAAAGTGTCTAATAGAAACTATTCTACAGAAAAAATGAGTAGAATTTCATCTTTCTATCCAACTTTTTCTATTGGGACATTCTGTATAGAAATTTTTCGACATGAATTTTCCAAGTTTTTTTAGGAGAATTTCTGTACAAAATATATCAATAGAATAAGTACTATAAAGCAATCGAATTCTATTATTTGTCCTATAGTATGAACTTCTATTGAAATTTCTGTTAGATTTTAGCCCATTCTATTGTGCGTTTCGTTTATAGAAAATGTTCAATTTATTATTTTAACAAAGAAACTATTCTATAGACAAAATCAATAGATTTTCATCTTTCTATACAACTTTTTTTATTGAGACATTTTCTATAGAAATTCCTCGACATGAGTTTTCCCCATTTTTTCCACTCTATTCTTCTTTTCTTTGAACCGAAGAATTCCTATAGAAAATATCTCGATAGATTAAGTTCTATAGGAAAATCTAATTTTATTAATTTGCCCTATAGGATATTGTCCATTGAAAATTTAAAAACCCTTTCTTTTACCATTTTACCCCGAGATTCTCTCCTCTATCATCGAATGATCGTTATCCTGCATGAAAGTGTGTATATAGAATTCCTGTGCAATAATGTAACTTACGTCGCACGATTTAAGTGACTGAACATAACGAAATGATCATGTTACATGTCTTAGAAGACTTTGAACTTGATATCAGGCACTCCGAATTGAATCTAATCAGTAGAGGTTTATCATCTAATTATTATCATTATCGTGTATTTAAATAGCATGTAAGGTTTATGAATAGTACATTGTCCTGATGGGGCGATGAAAAAATGTACAGTATATATTTGTATTAACAAGATGAAATTGCTATATATATTTGCAGATATGGATTGAGAAAAATAAAGAAAACGTTCTTTCATTAATTTTTATTTTTGCAGTTCTTCGCAATTCCCAAGAATTCTTACAGAAAGAGTCACAACACATTTTAATCGAAAAATCAACAACCATTGACTTTTTTACCATCAAATTTCTGAGCGATATTTTAAAAAAACGTTTGAATTCTTTTAAATGTCACTGTTGCATTTATTTTTCATACTTGAGGATAGAAAATTTATGTTTGGTTTAGAAACAAAAAAATAACCATAGAAATTAAATTTTTATTGACAATTCCGTTGGTTTTTCATCGATAAAATGTGCAGTATATTGTTACGAAATCGAATGGTTCGGTCCATCATCTTCCCCTTTTGTAAAATAAAAAAAAATTGATTGTCATTCTCTAATGTCAGGGAATAATTCCATGTGTGATCTTTGTTCCATGATTGATTCTGAAGAACTGTCAATAAATACGCCCCTTCGAATGATCCTGGATTATTACCTAGTTAAATACAACATATTTGTATAGACAACATGAAAACACGAAATACTCTCAAAGACATGGATTGAGGAAAATACAGAAAAAGTTCTTCTTTCAACCGTCACAGTTGCATTTATTTTTCGTACTTGAGTATACAAAATTTATGTTTGGCTTAGACTTCTCTAAAACATCTCTTACATTCTTACATCATCTTTAGGTATGAAGAAGTAGCAAGGTCTACATCGCGCACAAGTAGACGTACGCAATTTAGTTGGAATTAGGATTATTGAGGGACAGTAGACAGAGTCCAATTATCTGTATAATTTGGCTTGTTAGAAGTACTTGAGGAGATCCTCCTCGATGGAGAGGGGCTTCGTGGTAGGTGCGTAACGCTCGACAGCCTTTCCTTCCTTATTGATGATGAATTTCGTGAAATTCCACTTGATGTCATCGGTAATTAGCCCCTCCTGCTTCTCCTTCAGCCATTTGTAGAGAGGATGGGCGTTCTCACCGTTGACATCAATCTTCTCGAACATGTCGAACTTGACGTTGTACTTCTCAATGAATTTGAGAATTTCGTCGGATGTTCCGGGCTCTTGATTGGCGAATTGGTTGGAGGGGAAGGCGAGGATTCTCAGGCCTTTTGTGTCGGCGTACTTCTCGTGGAGGGCGACCAATTGCTTGTAGTTTACGTCTGTCAGCCCACACTCGCTGGCGACGTTCACTATTAGGAGGACGTGGCCGCGGTATTTGTCGAGGGACACGTCCTGTCCGTGAATGTCACGGGCGTGGAACTGGTAGATGTTCTGGGCCTTGGACCAGTCGGTGTCCTGGTTGAAGGGACCGTCCTGCGCCATGCAGTGGTCGTCCTTTCCGTTCTCGCAGAGATCCGCGGACACCAAGAGGCAGGCGGAGAGCAACGTCACAGCTAGACCTGAATTTTTTTCATAAAGAAAGAATGAGATTGCATGTGCGAAAACATTTCGAAGATGAGTCTAGTTCTTCAGTATTCAGACAATATTCTATAGAAATTCCGTGGCTCAATTTTTATGTTTTTTTGGTTGATTTTTTTTCAATGATGAGAGAAAAATAGAGGGAAATTTAAAAAAAATATTTGAATTCTTTCTATTGTCATTGTTGCATTTATTTTTCATACTTTAAAAATTGGGAAATTCAGGTTGAGGAACTTAGGAACTATAGAAAATGGGCTAATAGGAAGTTTTGTAGACATTTGAAGCTTATCTGAGCTCCGTCAAGTTGGCAGTCCTAGGTGCTCAAATCTGATCCAAAATTTTCGCAAAATTAGGCGCTTTTTTGGAGGAAAATTTTGTTTTTTTGCTCTTGTAGGATTTCTCAAAATTGCGTTTTTTCAATTTGAGCATCAAGTTAGCACGAAAAGTGGGGCAGAAAGGGATAAAAAAATCAAACCTAGAGGATAATTAGGCGCTTTTTAGATGCTCTCGGATGATGGAGAGAAAACTGCTTATCTGCGCGGTTTATTCAATAGGAAATATTCTATAGAAAATGACTGATTGTGAGTAGAATCATTGTAACACGCAATAAACTGTGAGTTGGCGATGAGAAGACTGAAAGTACCGGATAGAGACTGGTGGACCGGCCGGAGAGGAAAGACAAACCAAAGAAGCTAGAGGAAGAAGTTACTAAATGCCGTCGCAGGCGAAGTAAATGTACCGTTGTGCGTGGGGCTAGCTAAGATAGAGAAAGTGTTGAGAGATTATGGTGAACCGAAATTTTAAGAGACTAGAAATTGAACAATCGCTCAAATTGCGATACTGTGATATTATCATTAGTTATTATACTTTAGTGATATAAAAACAATTTATTGGAGATATTTTTGTTTGGCTTGTGTAGATGTAAAATTGTAACAGTAGCATCAAGGAAATAAAATATTCTATTCTATTCTATAGAAATTTCTTGGGTAAAATTTTTTAATCTTTTTTGTTTGATTTTTTTTGTGGAAAGAGAAGAAAAATAAAGGGGGGAAAACGCAGAAAATTTATATTTTGTGTACATGTATATTGTATAGAAATATGGAAGCTTATCCGCGTGTTTTTTCTAAAATTAAAATTAATTAAAAATTAAAATTATTCAATTTTTTTCCTTTCATCAAAAAATCGAACAAAAAGACTGGGAAAAGTGGAGCCGAGGAAATTGTATAGAAAACATCGCAATAGAATAACTTGTACACAAAAATCGAATTCTTTTGACTATTTCTACAGAATATTTTCTATGGAATATTTCAATAGAGTCGTCTAAAACTAACAAAAAATTCAATAGAAATCCAATAGCATTGTCTAGCGAATTTGCTGGGTTTTTCTATTAAATTTATTCAGCCGTGTCTTCTACAAATCAAAGAAAAATGAGAAAAATATCTGCACTCACCCAGCATTTTGTATAACAATGAACGATGCGAGCCGGCGTTCAACAACTCGACAACTAGACACAAAGAAATACACAACAGGGAAAAAATTGATTCCCGGAGCTTATATACTTCTCGATCAAACGCGACTACGTGACTGCTTATGCTGCCTCGCGGATATGAAGGAATTCGCCACAGCGACTTCGACTTTTATCGTGACTCCGTGAGTCGATAAAAACTACAAAAATTATGCTATTCATGTCTTAACCCTCTTTGTGGACTTGTTTACGTGCAGAGAAAAATCCCAAACCGGTCCAGTTTGGGTATTCATTATTTATAATCACGTGACCTTGGGGGAGTTCATGCCGACTGGCATCTCGATATTTACGATGGATCTTTTTTTGTCTGCTTCGGTCAATTCTTCGAGAGCTACAGTTTCGTGTCGCAGATCGGGATGGCGATGTTTAAAAAAATATCGATTATTGAAGAATCGATGGTTTTTAAAAACACCGATGTTGTGAATCGATTCTTCTGAAAAAAAAACATCGATGTTGTAAATCGATTTTTCGGGAAAAAAACATCGATTGTTTAGAAAAATCAATTTTTTTCTATTTGCACAGGAAAAAATTTTTTTTAAAATATATTCATGTCGCAGATATGGATCACCGATGTTTCAAAAAACATCGATTATCGAAGAATCGATGCTTTTTAAAAACATCAATGCTGTGAATCGATTTTTCTGTAAAAAAATATCGGTTGCTAGAAAAATCGATTTTTTTCTCTTTGCACAGGAAAAAAAAATTTAAAATGATTATTTTTTATTCTCAACAAAGCAACATTTTTTTAGACAAAAAATGAAAAATTTTCTCAACTTGGTCAATCAAAATTATCGATGTTTTTCGAAAAAAAATCGAAAATCAATTAATCGGCCGTTGAAAACATCGAATGATAAACATCGATGTTGGGGCATGAAAAATTGATGTTTTCGATTAATCGACAACCATCGCCCGTCTCTAGTTGCAGATACTGTAGAGTGCGACACGGCGTGCTGCATGGTGTGCGTGGACTCGTCGATACTATTTTCATAAACAAAAATACTTGACAGGTACGACAATTTTTTTGTGATAAATCACGGATCATACCGCATTATTTACTATTTTATTTACGAGATGTGGTGGGGTCTTGGTTCTTTCATCGTGTTTTGGCGGGACTGAGGTGTTGAGGTTAGACACGCGGCAGGTAGATATTTCATTGACATCAACAATTGATAATTAATGGGAAGAGACAGGGTTTTGGGGTTTATCATGCGTTTGTGATTTAGGGGCGATGGTTTTGTGGGCTGAGACCGGTTTAGTTGATGAATGTCATGCACATTCATCATCACATTTCCTAACCTCAATGACAAACCATTCATCGGGGAATAATCGGTATCTTCGAAGTGAATGATAGGATTTGAATGACTCAGGGATCGTTTTAAAGCTTGAGAAAACACCTCGAGAATGAAGAAAAAATCGAGAAATTTCACTCTACCGATTTTTTGTTATTGACGATCAAAGAGGTTTATTTTTCCTCACTTCTGTATTTTCATCTGGTTCATGATTTTTTTTTTTTAGTTAGCGATGTCATTCCGTGGTCGTGGAGGCGGTGGAGGTTTCGGGAGAGGTGGAGGCAGAGGCGGACATGGAGGTGGCTTCCGAGGAGGCAGAGGTGGTGGCGGTGACAGAGGACGAGGGTAAATACCCCAACACTATCCCTGGGAGTAATGAAGGAATAACGATGCAAATGATTGATTATCAAATTTTCAGGTTTGATCAGGGACCCCCGGAGCACGTGACGCCCCTCGGACACTTCGAGTGGACAGTGCAAGACGATCTTGTTGCTAAAGTTGATATTGAACAGGTCCCCTACTTCAACGCTCCCATTTACACGGAGAATAAACAACAGATTGGAAAGATTGATGAGATATTTGGAAACATTCGAGATTACTACGTCTCGATCAAGCTCAGTGATAATGTTAAAGCATCGAGTTTCGAGAAAAATGTCACGGTAATCTATTCATTCATTACATTAATTAACTAATTATGGGGAAAATTCAACTTTCGGGAGATAATAGAGATCATTTTCTTAAGATACCGGGTTTTTTCTAGTTGTAATGAATAATGCACTTTTTTTACATTCTCTTCCTCTACATAAGGAATGAAAGATGTTCAAATTCTTGGGAGCGTTGGAAAATTAATTGTTTATAAATTATTTATGGATAGAAGTTGCAATCTTCAAGAAAAATAATTTTTCAATCATTTTATGAACTTTGTATTAAAAATAGACTTTCTAGTTTTTTCACGATTAAAACTGTAAAATGATTCAATTAAATAATGATTAGTCCATTTTCGTTAACTGAAAAACAAAATGTTTTTCTTCCACGCTCATATTCCTCTAAATTATTTTTAAAAAATTCTTTTTTTTCGCAGTACTCATTTCTCCTTAAAAAATCTATTCTTTTCTCATTGAATCTACGAACTCAATGAGTTCTCCATTATCTCCAATTATTCACTAACTTTTTTTTCATGGAAAGAATGCAATTTTCGAGAATTGCATATTTTCAATCATTTTATAAATCTTGATTTAAAAATAGACTTTCTAATTTTCAGAACGTTTCTTAATAATTAAAAAGTCCAAATGATTTAATCAAATGATAATTCTTAAAACCATTTTTGTTCATTGAGACAAAATACCTTTCTTCCAAGTTCATATTCCTCCAAAGTACTTGATAACAACATTTTTTTGATTCTTCATTATTTTCAATCATTTTTAACAATATTTTTATGGGAAGAAGTTGCAATCTTCGAGAATGGCAATTTTTCAATCATTTTATAAATCTTGATTTAAAAACAGATCTTTCATTTTTATAAAAATTTTTTAACGAGTAAAAATGTCGAAAGATGTCAAATGATAGTTCTCAAAGACGATTTTTATTTCGAGACACGAAATATCTCTCTTCCAAGTTCATGTTCCTCCAAATTACTTCATAAAAACATTTTTTCTCTCACTCCAGCCCTCATTTGTCCTCAAAAATCTATTCATTTCTCGTTTAATCGACGACCTCAACGAATTTTTCTCATTTCCAGTTGTTCATTGACCCCGGAAAGCTCCTCCCACTCCAGAGGTTTCTCCCAAAACCCCCTGGCTCAATAGAAAAACGCCCATCACGTGGCAGAGGGGGCTCCAGAGGAGCCCCAGGAGGTAGAGGTGGTTTTGGTCGAGGTGGCGGCTCCAGGGGTGGCTTCGGCGGTCGTGGGGGTGGCAGAGGAGGCTCAGGCGGTGGATTCCGTGGTCGAGGTGGTGGTGGCGGAGGTTTCAACAACCGCGGGGGAGGAGGTGGAAGGGGACGAGGCAGATGGTGAAAATTATATTCCACAGAAGTTAGCAGAAAACGTGAAATAAAATATTCTCTCTTTTTTATTACTGAAAGACTTAATTATTACCACCACATGCATCCTGTATAACGAAAATGTTGTTTAAATATTTCTTCGAATGCATAAATGTTAATTTCAACTGTATTATTTTGATTCTTTCTTTAAAATCACAGGGGAATGATTATTTTGTCATTGGGAATCATGAGAGAATATTGTATTCGGCAAAGGGCACAATTTTGTTTCTTATTTGCATGCTAATTCATTAGTGATGGAATTGTTGATGAAATAGTTGTTATTCCCAATTATTATTTCATGAAAAACAATTCGCAATAATTTTTTTCCATGAAAAAAATTCTTTTCTCACTTTATAAAGACGCTAGACTAATCTAACTTCATGAATTTAGTTATGAATTTCAAATATATTTCTAAAAAAAAAGTTAAGTGTCCGTAATTACTCCACTCACTTAATTTTAAATTCCAAATATATTTCTGAAAAAAAGTTAGTATCTGTAATTATCTCTTAAAAATTGAATGAGCAATTTCCAATTCCCGAATTGCTAATTTCCAATCAACGAACCTGGACTTAGACCTCATCAAACTTAATATGCTTCCCCAGTTCCTTCTCCGCCTTCTTCAGGAGCTTATCCCTCCCCCGTTGTTTGGTTCGATCCTTCCTCCCCAGTTTCTCCTCCCTATCGCTCGCCATCTTCTCCCAGTACCTCTTCTCCTCCTCCCCACTGAGGATGCTCAGGGCTCTGTCCTCAGTGTGCTTCTCCACGAAGTTTTTCGCCCCCTCCTGATCGCTGCACCTGACGTAAGCGACATTGGAGCTCTCCCTGACATCAATATACTTGACACTTGGCTCGTTCCTGAACCCAAGTTTGAAGCCCTTGGGATTAGTGCAAGGCTCGTCCAGCTCGATCTTCACGATGAGCCCCTCTGAGAACGTGAATTTGGGGCCGGAGGGGACAGTCCTCAGACTCTCCTCAGCATTTCCCTCCTCGACTTCCATCTTCTCCTTCCTGTCGTAGGACGAGGGGTGGGTCCACCGAGTCTTCCTCAGGTGCTGCTTCAGCTGCTTCATCTTCTCCCTCTGGAGCTCGAGGTACTTGTTCCTCAGCTTCTTCCAGTCCTTCTTCGCCATTATTCTTAAACCAAAGTCAACGACGTCAGGCTGCTCAGCCCTGGCCCTGCGTTTCCTCTTCCTTTTCTTCTTCTTCGTCCCGTCGGCTTCATTCTCCTCTTCATTCTCCATCTCCTCGAGGTCCTCTCCCTTCCTGTTCTCCTCGACATCCTCACTCTTATCCTCTTTATCGTTCTTCACTCGCTTTGGCTTCGACGGAGAGTCGTACTCTGGGTTTTCGAGTTTTCTCTTCGAAGACTGGACGTCCTGGGGGATCGGCTTGGACCCTAGAGTCGCGTTGTCGATTCCACTCGGTGGATCGTCCTCGGAGAATGTCGTTATGCTCAGGAGCTCCTGGGGGGATGTGTGAGGGGGAAGTGTGCAGGCTTTATCCTCGAAGGCTTTCAGACACTCCTGGGCCCCTTCCACTGCTTCGAACTCTACGAATGCAAATCCCTTGATTTTTTTATTCGTCTTGTACTTGGGGACCGAGACGTAGGCTATTGGACCTGGAAAAACATTAAATGAACCGTTTGAGTAGATCTTTTCGAAATTATGGTCAACAAACAATCGACATCTCAAAACTGATGGAGAACGGGAGATAAATTTGGGCGAAGGAAACGTTTATTGATCAAGAAAACTCTCTGGAGTGCACATATGACAAAATTTGGTAGAACAACCTGGCGTTTCCGAAAACAAATTTTATTGGAGATTTAAATGAATTCTATTGAAAAGTTCCATTTGTTTTTTACGCCAATTCTGTTAATTAGGCAACTCTACTGCGCGTTTTTAATACGCATTTTCTTGTAGAAAAAAGTCATGTCGATTTTTCTATATGAAACGTTCTATTGGGATTTTTCCTCTAAGAATTTTTGGACATGAATTTCATGAGTTTTCTTGTGTTTTATTATGAGAAAAAAACAGGCGAAAAAACTTGGAAAGTGGAATAATCATATTTGATTATTGTTTTAATGATAAGAATAAAGATAACAAAATAGAAATGAACGAAAATCACATAAACTAATAGAGTTTTCTATCGAATTCCCTAGATTTTCATATCAAATTTTTTCGTGCATGAACAATCAAACCACGTTCAGTCATATTATTTTAATACAACTAATAATCACATTATTATTGATCATTTTATACATTTGTTCTGTGGTAGAGTGGTCGAGTAATTACGGACTCGATCCAGCAATGTAGATAAAACCTTTGAGTTAGGAATAACGTTCCTTTATTCCCAACTCAAAGTTGAACGGTTTCATTCGATAGAAAATTTAAATTAAAGTGCACTCAATAATGAACTACATCGGTGGTGAGCTCCCGAGGCCAGTGTGTTCTCGGTTTTTGTCAAAAACCGTGGCACACGTCTCTCGATTCGTCTTCGTATTCGCATTACAAAACGGTCTCGTGTTGTAATATGATGCTGAGTCGATAACCACCTAATTTCTTCATAATCATCCTATAGAATATTCTGGAATACAACACTCTCACTATTTTTATTTTTATTATTAAAAAATACCATCTTTGGTTATTTTTTCAATGATAAAAATAAAGGTAAAAAAATAGAAATGGACGAAAATAACATACCGTATCGAGAGAAGATGTTAATCAGCCAGTCGTGATTGGCGTCTGGAGGCAGGCCCTGAACGTAGACAGAACAGGCTTCGCAGTCGGTTCTGGGGGTGACTGGAGTCACTCGACGAACCTTCTCACCGTCCTCGGAGATTTCTAGGAGAGTTGAGGTCTTCAGGGCTTTTGATATTCTTGTTGTGTCCTGGGTGAGCGCCCTGATCTTGTTGAACTGGAGGAAGACTTTCAGGTCGACCCAGGGGTCTGTCTGAATGAGATTGCTGAGGAATCTGTCTTTGCTCAAGTTTGCATCGCCAAAGTAGAATTCCATCTGCTTGAGGATTGCTGAGTGCAGGGCTTTCTTTCGGTGGCGAGGCTTGGAGCGGGTGCCTTCCGCCGCAGGAACCTCTGCTGGGGCTGGGTCGTGGACTCGGGGGACTGGGATCGACTCCGACTCCAGCCCTGAGGCGTCTTCCTGGTCCTCTGTTACCATTCTCAAAGGGTTATTGATTGATTTTCTGAAATTAAAGGTTTAGTTGTGAAGAATGCTAATTCATTACGATTTTTCAAAATATAAATCAGAAATTGCTTCATAAACTTTGAATAAATCCCGTGAGAACAGCATATTTAGAGATTTGTTGTTGGAGAAGGAATAGAGCACTTGATGAGGGAATTTTTATTCAATTCATCATTACCACTTTCAAATTACCATTCTCAAAGGTTTATTGATTGATTTTCTGAAATTAAAGGTTTGGTTACGAAGAATGCTAATTCATTAGGATAATTTTTTTAAATATATTAATTATATTATAATAATATAATAATATAATATAATATAATTTTTTTTAATAGAAATGACTATTTATTATGTATTTATTGAACTTTTTTCAGTTATAAATTCTTCAAACTCGGAAAAACTTCAAATAAATCCCGCGAGAACAGTATATTTAGAGCTTAATTAATTATTGAAGAAGGATACGCACGAAAAAAATTAATAGAAAAACCGAGGAAATTTTCTAGACAATTATATCGATTTTTTTATTGAACTTTCTATTAGGTTTTGGCCAATTCTATTGAAATGTTCAATATAAAATATTCTATAGAAAAAGGCAATCGAATTACAATAATAGAATTATAATTAACAGAACATTTAATTAAGCAATTACATCTGAATGCATTAAATTTAATCCTTTTATTTATACCATAAATAAATAGAATTCGATTTTCCTAGACAACTTATTCTATTGAGATATATTCTACAGAATTTCCTCAGCCCAAATTTTCCAGTGAAGCTGAAACTACCGAAAGATTCGACAACACAAGATTTGTCTTACACGAATCTAGGTGTGTGCAAATGTTTTTAAGTAATGTACAAACTCTTTCGCACTTAAAAAACATTTGTACATTTGATTATTTGGCTCTACACTTAAATATCCCCCAAATTGAATTTTTCAGCATCATAATTTTCCAAGTTTTTTCACTCTAGTTTCTTTTTTTTCGGTAAGAAAATCGAACAAAAAACTATTTCCAAAATCAGTAGTTAACCTGTGTAATTTTTTAAACGTTTCAAAACGTTTGTGAAATGATTCATTTTCCCGAGGAAAAAAATAATTCGAATTATCAATGATCGTGGTAATTGATTGGAGAAAAAACGACATTGTCACGACAGTTAATTGTTTATTTACTCACATTTGTTGATGTAGACCGGTTGAAGTCGGTTGTCGGTTGTTGTTTTCAATGGATCCCAAGTGGTAGATGCGGTAGAGCCAATCTCATAAACATCTGAAGTCAGATAAGCAGATAACTCGAAGAAGCTCGCGTCTCATCTCATCTGTTTCTAGAGTCTCTCTACTTCCGGTCTGTAACCGTGGGAGACTTCGAATCGCTGTCATCACAACAAATAAACGCACAACTGGATATGTCGAAGGGCGGAAAAGTGCAATTTCGGGATTAAATACGAGGGTAAATGAACGTCACGGGCTGCAGGCAGTACACCGCCATTGTACTGCTGCAGAATTTGCTGCTTTTCTTCGACGTTTGTGTCAACTCGTTCTCGGGTTTCGCTCGGAGCCGCCCGGTTGAGCTGCTCTCCCTTTATGTGTACGTGAGGTTTTAAATATTTCAATATTTGGTTTTATTTAGGTTTAATTATCTAGTTTTTTCCACTCTGTTTTTCTTATCTTTTCATTTATAAAATATCAAATAAAAAACTTGGAATAATTTGAATTTCATTGATATAATAATTTGAATTTCACTTATAAAGTCAAACGAAAATATTTCTATAGAATAATTTTGTATAAAAACATAGGATGCTTTTGATTTTTCGAAAGATTATATCGAATTCGTACAGAAAAAAATTGAAAAGTAGTGGACAGGTGAAAAAAAATACTAGACTTTGAGAAACAAAAATCGTCTTTGTTCATATTCACTTCTCATATTTTCAGAATTCAAGATTTCTGCTTGATTGTGTCCCTCACAATTCTCCTCGTTAACTTCTTTGGAACTTATATTTTCCAGGTAAATCTCGTTGTTCTCTGAGAACATTTAAAAACGAATAATTAATGTAGATTATGCGAATTTCCATTTGCCTCTTCTGTCTCCAGGCAGGATTGATCCAGCTGTTGTACTTTCGTTTTCGAACAACCCTCATTTTATGTGTCATCTACATCATTTTAAATATTAGTCTTCACATATGGCATATGACGCTTCATTGGCATCAACCACTTGTCCATTACTGGACAAAGGGCTTTCATGCACTGTATGCGGTTCACAGAACAGGTAAGAAGATAAAGGAGGTATACTTTAAGAAGGAAATTGAAATTTCATAGGCAGTTGGCTAGTATTTTTCAGGAGAGTAATATTCAATTTGATTTTTGAGAAGAAAATCATTAAATCTTCAACTTGACTCGAAATTCACTAAAATTCCGAATTTTTAAGCAGCAGGAAAATTAAAATTTTTAAACTTACTTGAATTTTCAATTAAAACATGAATATTCAGTCCCAAATAACACTGAATTTTCCAGTAATTGTAAATTTAGAAATGTATTGACAATTTTTAGTGATTTTTAAACAGAATTTGGAATTTTCAATGATAAAATTTCAGTCGAAAAATTTCCAAATGGAATAAAAATATCCAAGAAGTGAAATTTTATCATTTTGGAAATTGTCATGATTTTTAAACTACAGGTGAATGGCCCCTGGAGACTATTGAGTTAGGGGATGAAAATAAAGACCCAGAGGAAAGATTAATAGAAATTACATTTTCCTTACCCGACGATTTTAAATTTATTTGCAACGATATTTAATTAAATTTCAAAAAATTGTTTGAATCAGATAATAACAAGCAGTTACTAGACGACAATTTTTTTTACAGTTGCAGTTCTGTACTATTATTTCTACAAACGAGCTGCCTTCAAAATCGGAGATCCACGATTCTACGAGGGGTCCAGATGGGTGGAAAAGCAATTAAATTTCGCATGAATATTTGTACTAATTGTTTTAATCCTATATTAAAATATGCAATATAAAACACAAAGGATGAAGCTAAAAATGCTGGAAACGAATATAATATCTCATTTATACATGACCCAACCGTTAAAAATATCGCGAAGAAACTTCAAGCTGTGTTTCTCCATTTTTTTTCTCTATTTAAAAATAAGGGAAACATTTTTGGGAATATTCCAAGACTTGGGAATATTTGAAATTTATCTTCGCTTACAAACTTAATTCTCAAAATCTTAATTAGATTTCTTGAAATCTTCTTCGATCTTAAAACGAAGGGTTTAAATGGGTGTGGCAAAGCAATTAAATTTCGCATGAATATTTGTACTAATTGTTTTAATCCTATATTAAAATATGCAATATAAAACACAAAGGATGAAGCTAAAAATGCTGGAAACGAATATAATATCTCATTTATACATGACCCAACCGTTAAAAATATCGCGAAGAAACTTCAAGCTGTGTTTCTCCATTTTTTTTCTCTATTTAAAAATAAGGGAAACATTTTTGGGAATATTCCAAGACTTGGGAATATTTGAAATTTATCTTCGCTTACAAACTTAATTCTCAAAATCTTAATTAGATTTCTTGAAATCTTCTTCGATCTTAAAACGAAGGGTTTAAATGGGTGTGGCAAAGCAATTAAATTTCGCATGAATATTTGTACTAATTGTTTTAATCCTATATTAAAATATGCAATATAAAACACAAAGGATGAAGCTAAAAATGCTGGAAACGAATATAATATCTCATTTATACATGACCCAACCGTTAAAAATATCGCGAAGAAACTTCAAGCTGTGTTTCTCCATTTTTTTTCTCTATTTAAAAATAAGGGAAACATTTTTGGGAATATTCCAAGACTTGGGAATATTTGAAATTTATCTTCGCTTACAAACTTAATTCTCAAAATCTTAATTAGATTTCTTGAAATCTTCTTCGATCTTAAAACGAAGGGTTTAAATGGGTGTGGCAAAGCAATTAAATATCGCATGAATATTTGTACTAATTGTTTTAATCCTATATTAAAATATACAATATAAAACACAAAGGATGAAGCTAGAAATGCTGGATACGAATATAAAATTTCATTTATACATGATCCAATCGATGGAAATTTTCCAATGAAATTTCAAGCCGTGTGATTACCGTGGAGGAACAGTAATTTGTCCACCAGGTGAGGTGGCAATGCGGACCTGCGGCTGTCGTGGAGAACCTGTGCTTCAGCTGGAATTCTCGACGATGGTGCACAGCAGGCGGGCACGCAGTGGTACCTCCTGGCCAGTTTACTCAGGTTGGGGCACTTGGCGGACATCTGCGACCACCACTGGAGGGGACAGTTGTCCAGAGCTGCTGCGGGCTCCGACTGGTACTGCACCAGCTCCAAATTCGCTTTCTCCTTCGCTGGCATTCCGATTTTCGTCGAGCAGAGATTGCCCAGGAGCAATTCCATCCCTGAGAGGCGGGGTTTCTTATTCGGAGGGGACAGGTTTTTTGTCTCTGGCTCCTCGACTTTTCCCTGTTGAATCAGCTTTGTTAACATCTCTTTTATTGGCTCGGCTGAGGTCGTTTTGTCTTCTTCAGTCGCGTAAGGCAGCTGTTTAAATCTGGGAAGGAGAGAAAATTGTGGTCAATTCAATTAAATTATTATTATTGAATTATTTTTGTTTGAATGCGAAGATTTTTCATTCATGAATCATTAATCTTATTGTTAATTCAAGAATGGAGTATGCGGTTTACTTGATTTTATGACATTACGCGGAAATTATTCGTTTTAATCAAGAATATTATATTTTTTACTGAAGAATATGCATTTTTTAATTGAAGAAACAGTGCTCTTAAAGCTAGGATTTTTATTTTTTAAGCAACACCGCAAAAAATAAACCCAGTATTCTCACTTCATTTCATTAAATTATTGCTCATTGAGTGAAGATTATTTTTCAATTGACAATTCATCGCTTTTTCAAGTTGAGGATAAAAAATTGTTATTTTAAGAATAATCAATCTTCTTATTTTGGCTTAATTTGATTAGATTGTTAATTTTCAATTATCGCCTGATTCAATTAAATAGTTAATGCTTAATTACCGCTTATTAAATGAGATTTAAAAAATCTTGCATTGAGAATTCACCAGTTTCTCAAATTAACAATGCGAAGATTTCTAATTCAAGAATAATTAATTTAATTGTTAATTTAAGAATGAAATATTCTTGACTTTAGAATATTCCCCTGAAAGTATTGCCAGCAGAATCATTGATTCTCCCATAAAGATTATGCATTCTTAACTAAAAAAAAACAATATTCTTAAATTTACATTCCATTTCGCTTCTTAATCATCAGAAAATGAAATTCTCAATTAAATATTTTCGAATGAAAATATTTTTCATCTGTCCCTGAATAAATACCTCGGATCCAAAGTAGTTGCGATCTGCAGTAAGAGAGTGACACCAGGATCAGCGTATCGTTCCACAAGCATCTCCGAGAGGGACTCCTTGAAGGACTTGGCGATTTCACTGTCAGTGGGTTTAGGCTTCAGGTGGGAAGACACCAACTGCCACAGCAGGGGTTTCAGCAGCGATATCAGCGGCATCTTCTCCTCACTCAGGGTCATTATCGTGACCTTGAAGGGCTCGAGTACAGCCACCAGGTCCTGCATGACTTTCCACTGGTCGTTGGTGAGCTCCGCAGCCTCTTGTTCGAAGCCCTCGACTGTCTCGAATATCGAAGTAATTATGTTACTTCTCATGATCATCTGTTCCAACATTGTGTACGTTGACGTCCAGATTTTGGGGTAGTCCATTGACATCAGATTTTCCTCTAACTAGAGAAGAAAGGAGACAATGGGAATTAAAACTCTTTCATGAAGTGAAAATTTTTAATTCAAATTTCAGGTAGAAATTTTTGGAGTATTTGACTATTCTTTTATGATAAAATAAAATTATGATTTTTATGAGTAATAGTCATGAAAATATTTGACAATTATGAGGAATCAAGAAATTTTTTTAAATTAATTTAAAACTTGAAGAAACTATTGAAATGTCTGCATTCATATAAAACAACATGAATCAAGAATATATTAAAATATAACATATTATATTCAATATATTCTTGATTGATTAATTAACTGATTAATTGATTTTAAATTAATAATTAAAGGTGAAGCATGAATAATACCAGATTAAGAAAAGGAGATTGGTATTTCAAATATTAAAATTTACTTTCAATCAAGAATATACTGAAATAATACATTATATTTCAATATATTCTTGACTGAAATTAAATTTAAATATATGAAACACCAATCTCCTCTTCTTAACCTGACAATATTCACTCTTCGCCTTGAATTATCAATTCATCACTATCCAATATCCTCTTCATGACCAGGATAACATTCATCCCCAAATGAACAATATGTCCTCCTCAAAAGACTCCCCGTTCCCCCAAAATAAACCTGCAAACTCCCCCCCAGACCCACCTCGAGCAGCTGTTCCTGCATGCTCATGGTAGCCAAAGCAGCGCTGTTATTGGCAATGCCCCCAATGATGGCCCTGCACTTGCTCAAGATCGCTGCGACCTCCGGGGTCTCGAAGCACGCCTGAGCGCAGACCTGGAGAGTGCTGAGCAGACAAGGCACCACAGTGAGCCCCCTGCTAGTCAGCGCAGCGACGAGATCGTTCCTCATGGTGCCCACGACGACAGCAGTGATCTTCTCGATCCTCAGCTCCCAGTCCATGACGACAGCGTCCACCATCCCGCCCCACTGTCCCTCCCCCCAATCCTGAGAGGCGTGCACAGTGCTGAGGACCTTCACCTCCAGCGTGGCCTCACTGGAGTTCTGATAGAACATGGAGACAGTGACAAAGCTCTCCCCCGAGTTGGACCTCCACTCCTCGACAGCGAGTCCAATCTCCCCAATGTTGCATGCGATAGTCGAGGTGACGGACTCCCTGAAGGTGTCGTAGACCTTCGGAATGATCTCCTCCTCCAGCTTATTCTTGCTCGGAATTTCGCAGGGGGACCTCAGGGTGGCGATGAGCCTCTGGAAGCCCCTGCCCTCGACGATCTCAGGCAGCTGGAGGTCCATGACAATGAACTCCGAAATAGCATCTGACACAGCCTTCTCGTCGATGCTGCTCTGCTCCTCCCGCACCAGGTAAGTGACGTTTGTGCTCGATGTCGAGGGCTCCTTCAGCATCACCCGGACAGGCTCGTCGCCGATGTCCTCCTCGCTGACGTCCTCACCCAGGCTCGACAGCGAGACAGTCGGATCCGTCACGAACTGAATGTCCCCGTCTATCTGCACTGTTCCGTCGATGTTCGTCGTGTAGATGTGGTGGTTGTTCATCGCCTTCAGCAGCTTCTTCTGGACCTTCTTGTCCTTCAGCGACTGCGGGGGCTTCTTCGCCGGCGCCGACGCCTCCAGCTCCATCAGCTCCTGATTGTGCTTGTTCTGCAGGTGCATTCGCAGATTACTCGTGTTCCTGTTGTACGCGATCTGCGTCTTGCAGAGGATGCAGACTATCTTCACTTTTGTCAGGATGTCGCCGTCCTCGGTCGCTGGGAAACCGAAGAACTTCCAGTACACGCTGCGCATCGACATCGGCACCACCAGCTTCTTGTACGTGAATGTGTGCTTCTCCTCTATCATCTTCGTCAGCACCATCTGCGTCGGGGGTTTGCCCTCCGTCGTGCTCACCCCCGGCTTCGACGACTTCACAGCCGATTGCTTCGGCTCCTCCATCGTTCCAAGTTTGTTCATCGCTCGGGGTCCTTCCGGGCAACTCAACGCATTCTTCTGCGCGGGGAACTCCAGGCTCGATCCACTGATCTTCGGACTCCGGGGGCCTCGGGATTTTCAAACGATTTTGCCGCGGGAGATATCGATTTATCGGAGCGAAAATTAATTTCCCGAGGATATCGAACGTTTATTTGAGTCGCTTCGAAAATTGCTGCGAGGAGTTTTGGTTATCGACTTTGTGCGAGACGTGGTTTAGGGATGTCGCAGTCATCGATCGGTCGAAGGGCGACCAATCGCCGGGCGCCGCGGCTAGGGAGTTTGCGGCGGGCTAGGGGATTTTTGTTGGCGATTGAGGATTGGGGGAGGGGGGTGATCAATTGGGAATTGGCATAACATAACCTGAGAGGGGGATATAGCCACCAATAGCCACTTCAAAGGAATAGAATAGAATAACATAACCTGTTTTTTAAGGGAGTTTTTGGGAATTGTTTATTAGTCGGTTGGGGAGATGAATTGTGTTATGTCGGGGCAGTTTGTGAGGAAGAGTCTGTGTCAGCTGCTGCAGGTCAATCATGGGGTTTCGGTGCAACAGACTAGGGTGAGTGATCGTTTTTTGGGGGCGGTTGGGTGAGAGTGGGGTTTTTGTTGTTCAGATGCTCTGGAGGAGCTGATGTTGTTGTTGTTGTTTTTCCTTGCTGGTTATGTCCCTTTGATAAAGGGAAAGTACCAAAAAGAAAAAAAAAACAAGTTGCTATCTCGATTTTTGCGCAAGCTAGAGTGTTTACAAAGTTGTTTTTATGAAAAATCTGAAAAACGAGAATATCTGGAAAATTTTGGATGAACGGGTATATATGTTTTGAGTGATTTAGATAGAAGGCATCGAAACGAATATTTTGGGAGCAAAAAAATCGAAATGGGTCCAATAGTTTTGAAGATATTTGCGGAAAACTATTTAAAAGCGAATCGCTTTTTCTCGAAAACTATTAGATCGATCGGGCTGAAATTTTGCACAGAGTTAGTCCTCATTAAGACCTATAAACTGAGGAAATTCCCGATTTTTAGGAATTACTTTAGCCACTTAATTCCTCAATTTTCGAAAAATTGATCACCGGGAAATTTCGTATTTTTACGTTTGAGCCCATTCTACATCATTTCCAATCAAAATTAGAGAACGTGAAAATCGAAGGATTGCAATGCTTCCATTCGGAAGAAAAATAAAAATATATTCTTCTTAAAATAAATAAAAAAGAAATTAATAAAAAACTCTCTAGAGGAGCTTCTGGAGACTTAGTTGAGGCAAATGTGAGGGAAATTAATCATTTAAAATAAAATAAATAATATTCTATAGAAAAACTCAATAGTATTCGATGTTTCTATCCAAGTTATTCTATTTAAATGTTTTCTACATAATTTGAACTTCTACATAACTTTGAAAATTTTCGCAATAATGAAAAGAAATGAAAAACAGAATGAAACAGAAATGAAAAACAGAATAAGAAAAATTTATGAGATTTGAGCGGCAGAAATTCTACAGAAAATATCTCAAGAGAAAGTTGTATCAAGACATCCTCCCCACAATGTCTTTACCTTCTGTCCACTTTCAGAACACCTTCGTCTTGAAAAGAAAAACCCCACCCCCACTATACCGAAAAGGGAGCAAGCCTCCAAACATGCGGGCTCGTCACTTCATTTACGACTTGGTCGAGGACACAGACCTGAGGCAACGACCTCCATTGAACCTGATCCTCACGACGTACGTCGAAGGCCTAGGGCACAGTGGGAAGAGAATCACAATGCCACCCGCGAAAGCTTACACGAGACTGCTTTTACCAGGACTAGCTGTATACGACACCCCGGAGAACTCCCAGAAATACGCGGTCAAGGGGGAGGACCAGAAGTCAGAGCACAGCTCTCCGTTCGTCGCACGAACGATTAGTTTCATAAAGCACATGGTCCTCAGCATCAAGATGTCCAACGACACCCCCTGGACCCTCGAGCCCTGGCACGTGCGGTCGGCCTTCAGGTTCGCTGGGGTCCACATGAATGAGGACTGCATCACCATGCCGAACCATGTGATCAGCGGACCCAATCACGACATCGAGAATAGAGAGTTTTATGTCGTTATTACTCTTAATAAACAAGAGAAAACACCTGTCAGGTGCAGGATACATCATCGCAGTAATAATGTTAATGATCAGAAGGCCATTCCCTCGAATTACAACTTCTGGAAAGAAATGGCAGAGCCAATCTTTCCAGAGGACAAGGCTGTTCTTGATGGATTACCCATTCCCTATCTGGTTCAGAGGGAAATGGCGAAGGTGGAGGCTCAAGATGAACCTCTTTGAATTGTATTCTGTTGTAATTTGGAATAAACTGTTTAAAAAATATTGTTATCTTTGGAAATTGATTGTTTTTATTCAAGTATTTGACGTGTTAGAATTCTTGAAGAATTGGAAAAATTTTAACTTTCCATTGGCGTATGCCTCTCGGTTTCTTACGGATTTTCACTTTTCCAGCGGCATATTAGTTCCTAATGGTTCTTCCAGCTTTCGAAAAAGTTGAAGCCCTCCAGAGGTGTTCCCTCGCGGCCACTCATCCTTCTAGTGACCCTTTTATTTGATGTCCAACAATATTTACATATATACAGTATTTACATATAACGAAAACCAGTCTTGAAAAAAATTATAATGAGAAATATTTTTGCTTGGTATAATCTTGGTCAAGTAGTATTGACTCTCTGTTCTATTACTTGATTGGGTACTTATGAAATTAATGGTAATGATAATCTATGATTATGCCTATCTCTGACAATTTCTGGAAGAAATGAACGACTCGAAAAATGGTAGAATAAGCTTTCTTCATACTCATATCCTCTATTTTTTTTTTCACTGAAGGAAAATGTTGAAGTTCGATGGGGCCTCCGTGCTGCCTGATACAATCAATATCATGCATGTCAACAACTTCAGGCGTTACGTTTCAACGTAACAGATTAATTCGTGTCCTGAATTTCTCGATTCCAAATTTCTTAGTGGTAAATCGAGCATGGAGCTTGCTGAAAAAAAATACGTGTGGGACGACTTCTACGATGGCCTCACCATCCTCGGGTAATAATCCTCACCAATTTTCTTGAAGCAATGAAGGATACATTGAGTGATGGGGATAATTGTTTAAGGGTTACTGAGCAACGGGACGAAGAGGTCAAGAGCAGGAAACGGAAGAAACAAGTCGTTCCACGGTCGCAAGTCTACTGTCCTCACGCTTACCTATTCTTGAATTTTTTGGATATCTTGAATCCTGGGGAAAAAGTGCGCGAGTAATCAACAATAATTAATTAATTAACATTAGCTCGCTAAAATCTCCGAGAGGAGACGATTAATTTTTTTATCAAATTACATTAAATTAATTATTTTTCTCAATTATTGAACAGTTTTTAATTATTATTGAATTTAATTAATTATTCATTCATATGTGAACTATTTCATTGATTGATAACTCATAAAAAAGGAAAATAAAGAAAATTATGTGAAGACGCTAATTAATTTTTTTAGCTGAATGATTTTTCATTGAAAAGAGAAGAAAAAAATTAGTGGAGAAAACGTAGAAAATTCATTTGGAGAAATTCCGATAGAAAATGTTTCTTTATATTGATTATTTCTGTAAATTTATTTCTATTCGCCATTTTTTTCTGTAAGAAAACGCGTAGTAAAGCCGCGGAAGTTTTTAATAGAATCGACTTAAAACTAATGGAAAATTCAAAAAGAATTCAATAGAATTTCCGAGCGAATTCGCTAGACAATTCTATTGGATTTCTATTGAACTTTCTATTAGTTTTTTTCCGATTCTATTGAAATGTTCAATAGAAAATGATCTGTAAAAAGTCGATTGAATTCGATTTTTCTATGCAATTTGATTATTCTATCGAGATATTCTATAGAAAACCGCTCAAATTTTCCAATTTTTTTTTTAATTTACTTGATAAAAAGAAAAAAAATGGAATGGAAAACCTTAGAAAATTTGAGCCGACGAAATTGTATAGAAAATATCTCTATTCTATAGAAATTGGCTCGAATTTCCTTTTTTTTGTTGGATTTCCATGATAAAAAGGAAAAGAAAAATAGAACGGTAAAAACTTGGAAAATTTGAACCAAGTAAATTCTATAGAAAATATCTCAATCCTATAGAAAATGGCTCAAATTTTCCATTTTTTTATTTACTCGATAAAAAAAAGAAAAATTGAACGAAAAAAAATTGAAAAATGTGACCCAAGAAAATTCTACAGAAAAAATCTCAATAGAATAACTCACACATAAAAATCGAATTCTATTTTTCTATTGAATATTTTCTATTCAACATTTCAATAAAATCGCCCAAAAATAATAGAAAGTTTAATAGAATTCTAGCGAATTCACTCCACTTTTCCATAAAATTTTTCCGCGCGTGAATTGATTAAACTGATGAACTAAAATTTCTTCCAGATAAAATATCGAAAATGTTATCTCCGGAGAGTATTCCCCCCCGACCCAGACGTAATAATCCTCCAGGACGTAAAAAACCTCTCCCTCTTCCTACTAACGACTCCAGTGAGTCTCCAATTCGTAAACTTCTTCCACCTCGAGGTGGTGGACCGTTTCCTCCGAGCGCTGATCCTATATTTCCAATTTTACACCGAGATTTGGGATGAGGAGATCATTAAGAAGCGCGCGGCAACGATGAAGAAGGCCCCGAATCCCATGGCCGGGGGGAGCAGGATAAGACGCGCTGAGGAAATGAGGATTCTCCGGTGTCTACTCGCTCGGGAGTACTGTGAATTAGTTGTGGGGTGCGACACCAGTGCGAGGTTTCATCACATGCTCGCGGGCACTGCCATCCCCGGGATGCAGTCCCAGGGGGAGAAGGACTTGAGGATCTTCGAGGTCCTTATTGGGATCGCTCACAGGGTCGTTTGGATCGCGCTGAAACGCAAGCATTTCACGTTGATTGGTAATTCTAGAGGACTTTTTATAGATTTTTTCGTCTTGAGAATTCTTTTTCTATTTTTCATTGAGAATTTATTTTTTTCTCTACTCATTTTTGAATAGACAAAAAAATAAAATATCATTTTTTGTTATATAAAATATTTAGATCGATTGATCCTCTTTTTTCCGTGCAGTTTACACCAGAATTTTTTAATCTGAAGACTTTTGGAAGATTCTTATAGATTTTTCCAGGATTTTAAAACAATTTATTTTCTATTTCAGGAAATTCAGGAATTTCCTGGAAAAAAACAGGAAATTCCTGTTGTTACAGAGATTTTTTTACAGGGAAATCTATTCTTTTTTTTTTTTGTAAATATTGCCTGAAAAATTTTACAATTTTTTCAAATTGCAGGAATCAATGCATTTTCATTTACAATTTGACGAACTTTAAATCAATTTAATATCAACTCCCTCTTGGAATTTTTCAGCTTGGGGATTCAACTCTGAATTTGAGTTTTCCATGCTTTTTTTTAAAAAATCAAATTTATAAATTTACTTTTTGTAAACATTGCCTCAATAATGCGAGATTTTTGTTATTCAAGTAAAAGATGAATTTTTTTTCTCAATGTTGCGAATTTTAATTCAATTTCATGTCAAATCCTTTCTGGAATTTTTTATTTGTCTTGAAGATTCAACAAAATTGGGATTTCGACACTGTTTCCTTAATAAAAATAAGAATCTACCGTTTTTTTGCAAACATTGCCTAAAAAATGTTAAAAAAATTGAAGTTAAAATAATAGCTGCACCTCAATTTTCAATGTTCCGAATTTGACTTCAATGTATAATGAAGTCGTTCTTAAAATCTCTCATTCATCTCAGAAATCCAACTAAATTGAGTTCTTCACGTTATTTTCAACTGCGAAATCTTCTACAGAAATCTTTAAAAACAATTAATTTCTCCGTTATATACGAATCGTGGAAATGATTAATTACATTTTTAGAAGTGGAACTCCACCGATTATTCAGAACCGACGCCTACAACACCGCGGACCGAAGAACCGGGGGGATTATCTACAAAGGAATGCTGGAGGACGAATTCAGGATCCTCCACGGCCCCAGAATGCCGCTGAAACGAAAATTACTGGTGAACTCCGCTCTCCCTCGGCAGTTGATCAGCGAATTATGTGACTTCCGAATTGTATCATTGGGTGAGTCATCGTATTTCCCTAAAGCTCCCATCTCTCCCTGAAAACTCTTTCACGGAGAAAAAAAGTTGGAGAAAAATTACCGAAGAAGTCTGAGTCTGCTCGCCTCAAATTTTCCAGGTTTTTTTGTTTTATTTTTTTATGAAAAGAGCAGAAAAATAGAATAAAAATAATTAAAATGAAATTAGAATATTTTCCAGTAAACCTTCCAATAAAATCGGCCAAAAACAAATAGAAAGTTCAATAGAAATCTAATTTTTTTTTCTATTTGGTTTTTTTCTATTGTTTTTTTTCTTTTTTTTTTGTTTTTTCTATTAAATTTTTTCTCCAACTTTTCTCTCCACGTGCATTCCTTTTCTGATTAAATTCTGCACCTCTTCAGGGCTGATTGCTTTCGAGTCGAGAGACCCCAGAATCAATTACTTGAAAAATGCACTAGTAGCAGATGAGGAAAATTTCCTGGACCTGGGGATCAAGATGGGGATCCTCGGGCATTCGAGGGAAGATTACGACATCATGCTGACGTCCCTGGAGGACGAGAAGGTTGTGGAGGAAGAGGAGGACGATAAGTGGGAGAGAAAGAGGAGTTCTATGTCTGACAGAGCGCGGAGAAGCAGAGTACGTTCTGTAGTGTTCTTCAAAATTAGAGCTTTCGAGGGTTAAATTTCAAACGCAGCGCTTATTCTTTTATCAATTAAATTATTATTTTTTGTCAATGAAATAAATTCAATCCTTTCTTTTTTAGATCATTTATAGATTCTTCAAAAAATGGGAACTGAAAATTTCGTTGAAAAAAAATCTGTTCAATCTGTTCAATGAAATATTATACAGCTAGTAAACCTTATATGGGAGTTCCTAATTCGACATCTAATAAAACAAGGGTATTTCAATTTTCTAAAATTAAATACCCTTAAACCTACTTAAAATTCATGTGAAAGCTTGTTCACATTCATTTCTAAGTCTCATGGAGCTCGCAAATCATTTTATTTCTCTTCCAATGTGAACTACTTTGTGTTATTTGTACTTTTTGATGCATTCATACCATTTTTGCAGCTGTCAAGAGAAGGAAAACGTGAGATTTCAGACGATTTTTCATATGAATTTTGAGATACTCTTGTTTTAAAATTAAAATTGAAATACCCGTGTTTTATTAGGAAACGTCGAATTGCTTAATTAAAAAAATTCAATATTTTCTCAAGATTCTAGAGAAGAAGGGCTTGAGCATGCCGGCCTTCGGGCCAGATCCAGAAATTCCGGAGGATTACCCTCCCTCAAAGATCAGTGGAACATCTACCAAAAAACACGAAATACGTAACAACGCCAGGAAAATGTGGATCTCCAGAGAACTCGAGAGACAGAATCACACACACTCAGACGCAGTCTCCCTCGCCACCACCATTGAAAATTAATCGTCCCCTCGATCAATTCATCAAATTATTATTTCTCGTTTTCTCTCGTTTTCGTAAAAAACGCCAACAACTGGGAAATGTTTTTAAGGAGATGATTGTTACGAATCGTCAACTTGGACCAGAACATGTGGTATTTTTTCAGGGATAGGATCAATGTAAGAGAGCACTACTAGGCAATGTAAAAAAATATGCTCATTATAATTATCACACTAATTAATAAGAAAATTATGACGATGAGATGGAAATTATCTGAGTTCTACTGCAGCATTCCTTTAAAAATCAGTGAAACATTCTACCAAAAAGCAGGACATACGTGACAACGCCAGGAAGACGCACCAGAAAATTTAATCCAAAAACCTAGTGAATTCGCTAGACAATCCTATTAGATTTTTATTGAACTTTCCATTAGTTTTTGGCCCATTCTATTGAATTTTTCAATAGAAAATATTCCCCAGAAAGTCAATAGAATTCGATTTTTCGATACAACTTATTCTATTCAGATATTTTCCAAGTTTTTTTCTTTCTGTTTTTCTTTTCTTCTCACCGAGAAAATCAAACAAAAAAACTATAGTATATTTTCTATTTAACATTTTAATAGAATCAGCAAAAAACTAAGAGAACGATCAATAGAAATCCAATAGAATTGTCTAGCAAATTCGATAATTTTCTATTAAATTTTTTCACACGTCTCTCCAGAGAACTCGAGAAAAAAAAATCACACATACTCAGACGCAGTCTCCCTCACCACGACCATTGAAAATTAATCGTCCCCTCCATCAATTCACCCAATTATTATTTCTCTTTTTCTCTCATTTGCGTACAAAACGCCAACAACTGGGAAATGTTTTTAAGGAGATGATTGTTACGAATCGTCAACTTGAACCAGAACATGTGGTATTTTTTCATGGATAGGATCAATGTAAGAGAGCACTACTAGGCAATGTAAAAAATATGCTTATTATAATTATTATACTGACTAATAAAAAAATCATGATAATATGTTACAAGGGCGTACACAGAATAGGGCATTATACGATTAGAGAGGAGCATTTTAAACTGTTCTTAACCGATTTTGTTCGTAACAATAAATGATATCTCTTCACCATAATTTTCAGTCGGTATTTGGCTATTGCAATAAACGCATGTGAAATATTTAAAAAACCTGAGGGCTCCTATGCGCGTGATTCAATTCACGTGCAGACTCGAGTGTAAATTCGTTATTTCCTTTCATCTCTCGTGAATTATTTGAACTACTCATAGAAATAAATACCTCATTCTATTCCTCGACATCTAATTAAATTTCACCTGACGATGTGATGAGAACAATTTTTTTTGTCAATGAAATTATCTCAACAATGAACACTCGAATCTCTGAAAACACTACACGAACGTCAATTGCGATCGTATGTTTTATCCATTATATTCTTCGTATAATTTACACATATTAAATTGGTTTGTTTCATTTGCAAGTATTTACAAAGCGACATTCAAACAATCAGAGTTTGAAATGAAGAGAAAGTAAGGATTTTTCTTTTTTTAAATTTCGAATGGCAGCACGTACGAAAAATTTGGGTAGAAAAACCTACCGAATTCGTAAATACGTTTAGTTTTTGGCGAATTCTATTGAAGAATTCCGCACCTTTACTGCGAATTTTTTCTAGAGAAAAATCAGTAGCATTTGAATCGTTCTATAACATTTTTTCTATTGAGACATTTTCCATGGAAATTCCTCGACATGAATTTTTTATGTTTTTCTCACTCCATTTTTCTATTTTTTATTGAAAAAATTAAACCAGAAAACTTGGAAAATTCGAGCCGATAATTTCTATTGAAAATATCTCAATATAGTAAATTGTATAGGACAATCAAATTCTATTAATGTTTTAATGAGCTATAGAATTAAAAACAAAATAATATGTAGTTGCATGGATATTGAATTTTCGATGGAATTTCAGCTTTCTATGCAACTTTTTTCTATTGAGACATTCTCTGTCGCAATTCCTCGACATGAATTCTCCAATTTTTTCCACTTAATTTTTCCAGTCTTTTCATTAAAAAACACGTGGAAAATTTGAGCCGAGGAATTTCTATGAAAAATATCTCAATAGAATAAATAGTGCACAAAAATCGAATTCTAGTAACTTTGTCTGCAGAATACTGTCCACTGAACATTCGCTAGGTTTTTCCACTGAATTTTTCCGTACGTGATACTTCCTTCAATCTAATGAAGAAAATGTTAAAAAAAAGTCTAGAATCAGTATGTCTTCTGAATCGTTCACATTTAGAGCAATTGATTAACGATGACGAATGAAAAAAACATCGTCAAAAAGTTCTGAGTCTGTGAGACTCCAGATTCGAAGAATTTTCATTCATTTCACTGAGTTTTCCCTACATTTTGTTTCCATCGTTCGGTCAATGTGACCAAACACCTAAATGCTACATAAAACGGAACATCCTCCTGTTGTATTCACATTTGTGTTGTTTAGTCATACCCTATGGTAAAAAATAATCGTAATCACAGTGCTCATTTTTTTTGTTACTGAATTACTCGTGACATTGAGGGGAGGAAATTTTAGTGAATAAAAAAATATTGAATTAAAATAAACATCTAGCCGTACGTCTACTGATGAAGGTACCTGCGAGGGGTTCAATATTTCGGCATCAGGGCTATATTTTTCCTGAAAATGTCCTCTAAAATTAATATTTCAATGCATTAGTTCAATTAATCAATTGAAATGGTAAAATTATTCACTGATTTCTCTATTGAGTGGAATGAAATAGTAAAGACTGGACATTTTTCTTTTTTTCCTGGGATTCCCAGACCAATTTGAAGAAATTATTCGAAATTATTCATTTACAAAATTATAATTGTAAAAATTTTGAAGGAGAAATTTTTTCCTAGAAAAATATAACTCTAGACCTATTTATCTTTACAAAAAATGAATCTGGGATATTTTTTCGTGAAAAACTCTCTTCAAAATTAACATTTGAATTAATTAATGAATTGAAATGTCGAAATTATTCAATGAATTATTCATCAACTTAATTTAACTAAATGAACTGACCATTTGTTTCTACATTTCTCAAAATTATTTAAAGGGATTATTCCCTGTTATTCATTTGCAAAATTATAATTTTTTCAGGAAAATAAAGCCCTAGACCCAATATTCCTCTTTACAAAAAATTAATATTTCCTCCTCGTGTCAAATTCAACATTATACAGTGCATGAAAAAGAAAATATTCTCCACTTTTTTCCTCGTGTTTCATGTCAGCTAATTGTTGATCGTTCCGTTAACATTGAGCCAGACTATACAACAATATTAGTGATACAGTGTTTTACGTAAAAGCCATCCCACATACACAGACGTTTTGTTTTTTTTTTCACTCGTTATTACCAAAATCAAACACACTTGAGTAGAACCACTTGACTAATTTATCTCGATTGATCATTGGGATTGGGTTGTTGGCTACGAGGCAATGTCGGACATTAGTTGGGCGAGCAGGGCGGGTTCTAGGAGTCCGTGGGTCTGGCCCATTCGCTCGAGGTTTCTCACGTCCTTGTCTACAGCTTCTAGCGCCCTTTCGAGCTCTTCCTCCTCTTCCCTCGAGGGCTCGTACTCCCCGTTTCGACTCTCTGCGGGGGGAGAATGTTGATGAGATGGCGGTGGATTGTTGGGGCTTTATTTTTTATTTGGGGGGATTGAGTGAAGGGGAATTGTGAGATATTTTTTGTTATCAATGCGAAGCAGAGAAAAACGTATGACAAATTCAATAGGAAAACTTTGCGAATTCGCTGGCAAATTCGATTGGAATTACCTAGAAATTCAATTGGGATTCTATTAAAATTCTAGGGAATTGAAAATTCTATTTCTTAAAATTCTATTTGCTTTTTGCGCTGATTCTGTGAGATATTTGGATTTCTTCATATGAATATTCTCTTGGATTTTTTCTATAAGAATAGTTGGGCATGAATTTTCTAATTTTTTTTATTTGGATCCTGTAATGCAAAGCAAAACAAAATATAGCGGGAGAAACTTGGAAAATCCGAGCCCAATAATTTTAGTAGAAAAAATGTCAAGAGAAAAATTCAATCAGAAAAATCAAAATCTATCGAACAATTAGAATTTTAACGAGAATTCCCTAGAATTTTAATAGAATCCCTATAAAACTTCTAGAGAATTTCAATGCAATTTTCTAGCAAATTCGCAAAGGTTTTCTATTTAATTTTTCCATACGTGTAATTTTGAGGAAAAATCATGCAATTTCTGAATCCTTGGTACTGACATCTAGGAAGAATTTTTTCTAAAAATCAGAAAGAAAGGTTGTTATTCTCAGTAATTTTTAGTGAAAACTAGGATAATCGTACTGACATTAAGACACGTTTTCTCTTATTTTAAGGTACTCTTGATTTTTGAAATTGGAACTTTCGCATTTTCTCAAATGAGAACCTCGAGGTTTAGGAGAATAACGAGAAATTTTTCGTGTCACAAATGCAAAAAACAGAAAAAAAGTTTCTAATTTTCAGTAAAAATTTTAATTTTCTGAACTCTGCGTTACCGAAATCTAGGGAGCGAAAAATCCTGAATTTTCATTTATTCTAAGAGAATTTTCTCAGAAAATCAGAAATTTTCATTATTCACAGCAATTTCTAGTGAAATCCAATAAAATTAGACTGAATTGCGACGCGTGTTCTCTTATTCTAAGAGACTCTTGATTTTGCAATTGAAAACTTTTGGGTGTTTCGAGAATAACTAAAAGCGAAATAAATAAATAAAAAAATTATGGACCGTGTCACCCGCTGCAAGAACTCACCAATAAACAAATCATTGAAAGCATCAGCAGGTAAATTGCTGAGAACATTTCCAAAGTCATGTTCGGTGGGATCCAAGGCAGCAAAGACTTCATGATCCCCAAGCTCGACCTTGAGCCCGCCTCCAAGGCCAAGAGGTCCCAAGCCGAGTCCAAGTGCATTGAGATTCGCATTATTAGAGCTCCCCTGCGCCAGGACATTGATATTATTCAACGTCTTACTCCCCATAGAGTCCTGAATGATCTCCCCCCCGTAATGCTCCTCAAAGCAGTCAACAATCTTCTCCTCAACAGGTTTGATCGAAGGCGGTCGTTTCCTCTTCTTCGGCCTCGACTTGCAGCTCTTCGTCCTTGGAATGCTTGGCGACGTGGACTTCTTCCTCGTTTTCTTTGGCTTTGTTTCCTGAGCTTTACGATTATAATTGTCACGTTTGCGTGCGTGCTCCGGGCACAACGGTAATTCATGAGTGACATCAAAAACAGGTACACAACACTGGGTATTGTCACTGAATTTGGCAGTGCAGTGCTCGAACAACAATTGATCACTGTTAAGCATGATGTGTTGGGAACAATGACGAGTGGATGGTAATGACGATTGGCCACAGCCATCGACACCACAGGGCCCACCAGCGAGCAGAGGAATCGCTGAAGATCTGCTGATGACAGCTGATCTCAAGCGTTTCGTCAGTTGACTCCTGGCAGCTGTCTCCAGGAGTCGCTGGGCCCTGTCTCTGAGAAGTCTCTCAGACTCTTGTCCACCTTTATGCAGCTGGAGGAGACGCCTCCTCAGCTGTGATCTCACCTGGGACAATCGTGCAGCCCTTGGGCCTGTGATTTCCCCAGTGAACCAGTGTCTCTGGTGAACACTCAGCTCATCACCACTGGACTCACTGTCTGATATCTCGTCCCCAGCTCGTGGGTAGTACAGCAGAGTGTGATCACGTCCCTGTCTCCGCTGAGAGTCATCTCTTTTGGGGAGGGAATTGCTCAAGCCACGAAGCTCAAGTGTTCTGCTAACGTCAGAGAGATCAGGGGACTGCTCCTCCTGGGGATCAGTCACACCCACAATCTCCCTCGTTTTTCTCTTCACCGATTTGCCACGTCCTGTCGACTTTATCATCTGGTGACTGCGCTTCGCGTCACCCTTTGTTGATAACATTGGCTCGGGCTCACTGAACACGTAGGGATCGACATCCTGGCGCGATTCGGTTTTCAATAGTGCTTTCAAACGATCCGAAAACTTGAGTTTATTGTCCATCGTTGGGTTCACTGGGATTCTCATCGAGTCCACTGGCTCCAGACTGTTCCACCTGCATTCTCAAAGGCTCCATTTAATAATCCCGAGGGATTCGCACAGGCTCGATGCAGCCACATCACTCCAACATTTAATCGACAATTGAATTTTTTTATTGAATGACAATGAGGGACAGTACAGCCAAACTAAAATTTGTTTTCCCTTTAAAAATTGTGTTTCAATTGTTTTCATTGGGAAATTAACATTTCGACAATGGAAACCATGGAAACCTGGGGCCTTAAATTAGATTTCTGGGGGAAAAGACGATTTTGGTGAACATGGGGTTGGAGTGATCTGGGGGATCGAGCCTGTTAGGAGATCGTGGAAAAATGATCCTTGCCTCATGCAGCCACATCACTCCAACGACATTTACTCGACAATTGAATAGTTTTAATGGAATGACAATTAAACTCGAAGGATTTTCATTTGTTTCGAGGGACAATACAGTCAAACTAGAATTTTTTTCCCTCTGAAAAATTGTGTTTCAATTGTTTTCATTGGGAAATTAACATTTCGACAATGGAAACCATGGAAACCTGGGGCCTGAATTCAATTTCTGGGGGAAAAGAAGATTTTGGTGAATTATACGAGTGTTTGGGGGGCTTGAGAGGTGAACATGGGGGTTGGAGTGATCTGGGGGATCGAGCCTGTTAGGAGATCGTGGAAAAATGATCCTTGCCTCATGCAGCCACATCACTCCAACGACATTTACTCGACAATTGAATAGTTTTAATGGAATGACAATTAAACTCGAAGGATTTTCATTTGTTTCGAGGGACAATACAGTCAAACTAGAATTTTTTTCCCTCTGAAAAATTGTGTTTCAATTGTTTTCATTGGGAAATCAACATTTCGACAATGGAAACCATGGAAACCTGGGGCCTGAATTCAATTTCTGGTGAAAAAGAAGATTTTGGTGAATTATACGAGTGTTTGGGGGGCTTGAGAGGTGAACATGGGGTTGGAGTGATCTGGGGGGTCGAGCCTGTTAGGAGATCGTGGAAAAATGATCCTTGCCTCATGCAGCCGTTCATCATCCTCCCTGGATTGAGGTTGATTGTCTTCCGGGGTTGTCAATGGCACTCGGGGATGTTTGGCTCCATTGGAACGTCAAACGTCAGTCGCATTGACAGAGGGATGAAAATAACGTTGACGAGCTTTTTCTGATTTATTGGTTATGTTCGACAAACGTCCAACCTCAATGAATGGCCATTTAACATGATGACGACCAGAATTGTCCACGTGCGGGGCTCTGGGGGGAAGGAATAAACAGTTGAATTCGGGTTTTGGGGGGTTTTACTGAGTTATTGGACTGTTTGTTGGGAATAACTCACCGATTATTGGTCACATTCGGATTAGAGCACTTGGAGCACCTGGGGCTTCTTTCGAGTACTTCGGGGGGTTTCTGGGGGGCTGGGGTGGAAGGCCGCGACGTGCACTGGGGAACTGGGAAATTGTTAACTGGGGGACTTTCGTGGGTCGGATGCGGGGAGCACGACTGAAGATTTTAGGTGATTGATAATAACATTAGAAAGACATGTCAGTTGTCGAAAGGCAGCAAGATGGCGGGCGCTACACACAACAATCGCGCTTGTGTGGGGTGTGCGTGTGACGCGGGCGGGAGGAGATTCGAAGGGATCGGCAGAGGGAATTTTTTGGGAGAGTTTGACGATTTTGAGGGGAATTTCGGGGGTCGGGGAACTTCCTCGGGAATTATGGTCATTTTTGGGGGGCTCTGGGGGAAATTTTCGCTTTCACTGCGCGATTTTTTTCGGATGTGGGGAGTAGGAATTATTTTATTGAAAACATGAGCTGAATTTGAGTTTTTAGGAGGATTTTCTGCATTCGGATATTTTTTGTGGGATTTGCGGTGCCCGTTAGGGCATCCCCTCTGGTTTTTTTTGTGTGCCGCCCCCTCAAAAGACTCGAAATAAATTTTACAAAATTCTCTTAAAATTTTAATAGCCCTCTAGCGCAATCCTAAAACGCCCCCAGAAAGCCTCATTTTTTCTTTCCGTAAGAATAATATGAGAATAATACATTTTGGCCCTTGAGAATAATTGGGGAAGGGTGGGGCAAAATGGACCCTTGAGACTTTTTTAATTATTCATGACTCAGAAACGAATTTATTAATTGAGTTCAGTTTAGGCTCATCACAAAGGGAACGAATTGTTGTTTGTGTTGAAAAAAAATCATTAAATTTCATCAGCATTTTAACCGGTCATTAACATTTTTAAAAAAGTCAAAAGTGTCCATTTTACCTCAATCTCTCCTATACTATCGTATAATGTGAATGAAGAACGAAAAATTTCCGTCAAAAGCAGTTCATTTACTCAGTAATTGTCTGTGATCATAAATTTTTTAGCAAAGGTCCATTAAAGATTATGCAAACGTATCGTTTTTTGAGAGATATTTGGATACAAATAAGTTTGTAGATTTTCATTTTTCTACAGAAATTCTTAAACATGAATTTTCCAAGTTTTCCCATGATAATATTCCAGCAAGGACAAATATTTTATTGACGAAAATATCCTTACAATTTTCTATTTTACATTCCAATAGAATCGGCCGAAAACTAATAGAAAATTCAACAGAAATCCAATAGAATTGTCGAGCGAATTCGCTAGGTTTTTCCATGAAACTTTCTCCTTCATGATCTCATAAAAATACTTAACATGTTTGTCGTGTAGGTCATCGCCTCGAGCAAAACTATTCAGTTCCATTATCAGTTATACTATCCGCCACGTAAAACACGGTAGCCTCCCGAAGTCCCTGGTACTCAGGCCGCCTCACATAAAACTGCGCTGCCACGAAGGCAAGGAAAAACGATTAACAGGCGACATATCAAACATACTGTGAACCCAGTGGCCATACGTTTCATTAGAANAAAAAAAAAAAAAAAAAAAAAAAAAAAAAAAAAAAAAAAAAATGAATTTTAATTTTAACGTGATTCTTCTCCTGCTGCTGTGGACAGTAGCCGTTCTTGTCGACGCCGAGGAACTTCCGGACAACATGAGCCCGTTGGATGGAAAACCGCCCGGCTGGAAGCACCCGGAGAGGAAGGAAGCCCCCAAGAAGAAAAAACCGATCACCAAAAGTCCAACTCGGGGACCTGGGGAATTCCATCTGCTGCAGGACGACTTGGAAGAGATGCTCAGGAGCATGAATGAAGAATTGTGATTTTTGAAGTTGTGTTTTGTCATTTTTACATAATTTTTTGCGTATTCGAGTGCGAAATAATTTTAATAAATGTTTTTGTGAAGTCAATTTTTTTAGTGAGGGATATTTTTTGTTTAATGTGCACCTGTTCATTTAAAGGGATGAGAAGTCTCATTGTGTTATGGGTTGAAGGAGGTTTTTCGCATTGTGAAAAAAATTTCAGGTGTGAAAAAAATTAATAGAAGAATCTGTAAGAAATTCTACAGAATTTTAATTTGAATTTTGTAAGAATTCCATTGGAGTTTTACTGGAATAAAAATTTTGCAGTTGTGACGTGTAATTTTTTTATCGATATTTGATAGAAAAAAAACATTGATTTGTTTTTTACATAAATCATATATTTAATTTCTCATTAAAAAATTACTCAAACACAATTTAGAAATTTCGATCCGCAAATTTTGGAAAATAAATGGAAGTTTCATAATTTTCAATCGAACATTATGAAATGCAATTGAATTTCTTGAGGAAACGACAAGACAATACGAGAGAAAATTCTAATAATTATCAATACTTAAGAATGCAATGAGTCTCAAAAAAAAATTTCTTGTGCTAACGACACGTCTCTTTCGATAACGAAACTTGAGGTTTACGTATATAGTATCCTTGAAAAACAGAAAAATTTTCCATAAGCACTTTACAGCTGACGTTATCACAGGCAGGAATCGACAATAATGATTATTCCAGTAATATGAAGAGAAGTTTCTTCTCAAAATAATTGCAGTTTGTTAAATTTAATTGAAATCTGAAAACTAGTAAAATAATTGATAACCTAAATTTTTCAATTAACTATGAAATAAAGAATTGATGATATAAAATTGTCGATTGACTATTGAATAAATAATTCTAAATTTCGTAAATCGATTTTCGATTAAACTGAATTCCGACCTCAATTATCGATGAATAAAATAATGTGAAATTTAAATAATTAATGGATGATTAATTTATTAATATGAAAATTGTCAAGTGCTATTAACTGATTGAATTGGAATTTATGTGCGAAAGGAAATAAAGTAGTAAAAAAAATATGTAATAGAATAACTTCATTTAAATTTCATGATTATGTCGACGTCTGATCAAAGATTTCACATGCAAAAAAAATAATAATCTTCAAAGAGAACGAAACAAATGGGGAGCCATCTGGGGAAAGACACAATAAATGAAAAATGATTGAATGTAAATATCTTTAATTAAATAAGATCTGCATTTTACAAAGCAAATAAGTTACACAATATTCCGCACATGTAAAATTGAACATCAATCAATAGTTTGCAGTCGACTTATACAGATAATTCAACATTGTGACCGCCTCAATTAATATTTCTTGCAAATGTCTCTCGTATACAAGTATAAAAGCGCCATGCAAATGTGTGACTCTTCGTTTTAATTAATTCATACACGAGTGGTACTTATTCTAATCAACATTCATCAGGCGGTGAACCGTAAACGCATCGAACCCGCCCGAAACGATACTAAACCTTTGATCGAGTGGCTTGTGCTCTTGGAAGACATGAGCCAAAGATGATTCGAACACATTTCTAGCACCAGAAAAATAAACAGCAAATTCATTAGATCGTTATAAAATCATTTTATCGGCACTCGATCCCTCCACGCGTTGAATCCATTAATTTCTCGATATTTCCTCAACTCTTCTTCGTCAGAAAAATTAATCGAAATGAATTAAAAACCTCGTAACATCGTGATTAGCGTGGTTTAAGAAAAAATGGGTTAATACTAATCCCGTTGGGTGATTCTTCCTCTCGATTGAATCTTCAATTCGATCAAGGTGTTGTAAAATTATTTGTTCAAGGTAGTCAGCCTTATTTTCAGTTGTTTCTCGTGGATTCCAAATGGATATTTGGATCACAATCCACGGATTCTGTTGATCAATCACTGGAAATCAAATTTTACGTGTTATTCGATTGATTTTAATACTTTTGCATGATTTATTTTTTAGGTAACAAGAATTTTGAATTTGTCTGAATTGAAGTTTTCATTTCAATAAATAATAATAATAATAATAATAATAATAATAATAATAATAATAATAATATAATAATAGTTTAAATAATTTGAGTTAAATTTAATCCAGTGAATTTAGTTGATGTGAAGTTCAGTTTAATAATAAAGTGAGAATTAGGAAAAATATAAAATTCAGATAATTTTAGTTCTGAATATGGATTTTTAATGAAAAATTGAAGTAAATTACGAAGTTTTTGGGCGATTTATACGTGAAATAATTTTAATTCTCCCAGGGTTATTCCCAATTCAGTTACCAAATTTAATGACTGAAAATTATTGAATCTGTAGTGTGATTCGTATCGAGCTATAAAAGAAACTTGAATATGCTTCTGGAACGTCTCCTAAACCTTGAAATTTCTTCAAAATCAACTTAAAAATCCCCTTCCAAACCCCTACTTCAAAAAAACCCCAAAAAACCTCCTCACCTATCGCTATTTTCGCTGGTCCCCTCCTCGCTGCAGTCCAAGTCCAACTCCCCCTGAATAGCGCTCTGCAGATCATCAATTCTCTGGAGTGCGAGTCTCAAATCGTCCCTGGCAATTTTCGTCTCGGCCTCAGCAGCATCAAGCGCCTTCTCCAAGTCCCTCCTGGCCCTGGTGGCCTCTTGCTCCCTGGCAGTGGCGGAGCTAGCCTCATCCTTGACCTCCCTCAAAGACCTCTGGAGCCTCCTGAGAGCGTCCTGAGCAGTCTGCTCTTTGGTCCTCAGCAAAGCAGTCTCAGTCTGCAATTTATCAACAGTCTCCTTCATCCTAGCGACCTGGGTCTCCACCCTGGCACGGGTCGTCTGCTCGAGCTCCAGCTTGCTCTCGAGCTCCTTGGCCCTGAACTCCAGACGCCTGGTGGCCAAACTGTTAGCAGTGGGATCCCCCAGATGCTCCACGGACTCCAGCCTCTGTGTCAACTCCAGCATCTGATCCTTGAGTGCTGATTTCTCCGCCTCCAGAGCTGACATCTGCACCTGCGCCTCCTGCAGCTGCGCCTGCTCACTCGACACCTGCTGCACAGCTGCCCGATACTTCTTGAGGACCTCGGCAAGCTCCTCCTCATTCTCCTCCAGCTGGGATATGAGCTCTGCTCTCTCACGATTGGCGGCATTCGCCCTCTCCTCAGCCTCTGATCTCGCTTTTGACGCCTCATCCAACGCAGCCTGAGTCTCATTCAGCTCCTGCTCCAGTGCCTGCTTCGCCTTGACAGCAACAGCTCGTGCACACTCAGCATCCTCCAGCTGATTCTTCAGCTGTCTCAGCGCTGCTTTACCCGTTGAGTCCCCCTTGGACCTCTCCAGCATCGTCTGGGCGTCTCTCAGCAGCGCTCGAGTCCTCTTCAAGTCCCTCTTGAGTCGCTGAGTCGTCTCCGCCTCAGCAGCTCGATCCGATCGATCCTGATCCTCAAACGCCACCAGTCGTCGCTCCAACTCGTGCTTCTCGCGCAGGAGAATAGTCCTCTCCTCGTGCTCGTTCTCCAGCTGCGCCTCCAGGGCTTTCACCTTCTTGTGGGCGTTCCCTCGCACGTCCTCCAGCTCCTCGTCACGCTGCTGCATCTCCTTGCGCATCTCTTTTCGCTGCTGCTCGATACTCATCTCCAGGCGGAGCTTCGCCTGCTCCAGCAGCTGGACTTGACCCGCCAGGTCGTCCAGCTCCTCCTCCTGGTCTTTGCATTTTTTCTCGAGCTCGTGCTTCGCCTTTTTCAGCTGGGCTACTTCTTCCTCGGTTTTTCCACCGAAGGTCAACTCCTCTAGCTCGTGCGAGAGCGTGTGGAGACGTTCTTCTTGCAGCTCTATCTCCAGTTTTGCGTCCTGAGGGGGAATTGATTGGGATGAGGACAGATGACATGATATTGTGATATTAATTAAGGATGAATATTGGTGTAATTTTTGATTTGTGTGATTTGAGGAAGTTTTTTTGGGAAAGGGGTAGAATCTTACTTATTAATGAGTTTAAAGAACAGATTTCATGTTACTAATTAATGATGATAATTGATGTTATTGAGACTTTTTGATGTGTGGAATGAAGTTTTTTTGTGAAAGAGGTAAAACACAGTTATTTACAATGAATAATGATTTTATTATTTAAACTTTGCAGGTCTGAATTTCAATTTCGATATTGTACTCTTGGAAAACATTTTAAAAAAAAGATTGATGAAATAGTTTAAAAAATGCAATTTTTTGAAAATTACGAAAAAATTTTCGAAATCCTAAAAATTTATTCATATTTAGAATTTAAAAAAAAATTGTATTTCCGAAAAAAATTGAATCTCCGAAAGTTTGAACAATTTCAATTATTCATTTATCAATAATGAGTGTTTAAAAAAATTATAATTCTGTGTAAAATGTAATTTGAATGACACTGTTTTTTTTTATTTTTCTGCCGCAATTTAATTGATAAATTTGATAATAAAAAATGGTTGAATCTATAGTGCGATCTGTACCAAATTGTAAAAGATACTTGGATATCCTTAAGAGAGGAAATTAATGATTTTGATAATGAAGACAGCAAAAGGATGTAATTGAGTCTTTTTGATTTGTATGAGGAGAAATTTTTTTTCTAGTGAAAGGGGTAACATCCTAGAAAGTAATAAGTCTGAACAACAATTTCTAAAGGCTATTTTTTATAACTTGCAAGATCCCTCACAAGAATTTTTGTCATCGGTCTATTTTCAAATGCATTTCATAAAGTTATTCTTGAACAAATATCTTTGAAAGACTAAAAATTCAAACTAAAAATTACTAATTCATACATCTGATCAATTTTCTTTTCATCTATTCATAAATTTTTAATGACACCATTCATCAATACCAGAAATGAATGAATAAAAAAATAAATTAAACGAACAATTGCCTATATTCAACATCAATTAATATTCCAATGAGGATAAGATGCAAATAAAGAACCGAAGTAAGAGAAAATGTTGCTAAATTGCAAATTACAGCGCAAATGAAGTTTTTCCTGCGCCCAACATATAATGAGTAAATAACAGGAAATAGCAACTTACACTCAAATTTTGTTCAATCGTGAATTTCTCAGCAATAGCAATTTCCTTTTCCCGTGCTAGTCTCTCCCTCTGAGCTTTCTCCTGCCTCAGATCGTCCATAAGATTCTGTGTCTCCGAATCAAACCTGAAATAGCGAAAGAAAATGCATTAAAAAATGCCGAGAATTTCCACTGATGCATTGACAACTCTAATTCATAAACTATTTCAGCCAGCATTTGCATCTATTTTCGTTCTTTCAGACACTAAATCTCGAAACTGCGGGAGAATATATGCGTGTGTACACAGTAGTTTGGCAGTTTGCCAAAACACTTGTTGAGGACGTTTGGGAAATGGGAATAGAATGCACTGGCAGTACCGGCATCCCCCAGATACCTATTTACGATTTTACAGAAATCAAAGCATCGAAGGTGTTCTGGTTTCACTCACTTCCGTTGAGTCTTCTCTGTCATCGATCTATTTTTCAAAGGTGTTTTCTTAAGAGGGAATTTGAGTCGATATCCCCGAAAAATTATTCCCGATTTTCATCGAATGTGTTTTGGTTTATTTACTCACTTTCGTTGTTTCTTCTCTAGTAGATTATTCCGGGCTGTTTGTTCCTCGAGGAGAAGTCTGAGGTCGTGCATCTCACCGTTCAGTTTCTGGACACGACGCTTCCATTGACCAACAACTTGTCGCTGCTCCTCAACTTCTTCGTACGCGTCGCCAAGCTGATGAATGAAAGATTGAGTTTCGAGAAAATAAATAATCGTGAGGAGAAGAGCTATATTTGCGAGCTTTGCGATATTAAATGATTAATATTTTTTTCTGGAAAAATTGTGTGATGAACAAAATGTTAAAAATTCATTAAAAAATCGTGAATAAAATATCCAGAAGACTTCAAATGATTAATAATGATTTGATGATTATTCAGAGATGTTTTTTTTTTTTGAAAAATCGTCTGATGAACAAAATGTAAAAAATTCATGAAGAAATTGCGAATAAAATGTCAACAAGAAGAAATAAACCCATTTTTACATTTTCATCTACTTTCAATTATGTTGAATACATTTATAATCTCAAATGACTAATAATCATTTGGCAATTATTTGCAGGTGATTTTTTTTCTCGAAAAATCGTCGAATGAACTAAATGTGAAAAATTAAAAAAATTACGAATAAAATATTAAAAAAAAGAATATAAACTCATCTCTTTCACATTTGTTTATTTTAGTTTACGCTGAATATTTCTATTGAATAATTATCAATAATTTAATAATTATTTGACGATCATTCTTTCTTTTTCAAAAAAAAAAAAAAAAAAAAAA